TTTTGCAAAGCTCTACCAGCTCTCCTCTTTGATAATTGTGAGTAAAATATTGAATAATCACTCCTCTGTACAAAACATGTTTACAACTCCTACCTTTGTAACTAACATAACTGGAATACAAAATGAAAGCCGGTTTCAAATTATAGCTCATGCCATAAGCTAGCCATTAACAGATTTGCCGGATCCTCCATGCAACCTACCACATCAAAGGAGTTACGTTCCACTACGGTGATGGAGCTTATCGATATCCAGTGTTGGTGGTTATCGAGGTTTTGGAATTTATTATGTCTAGAGCATGATTTTTAAACTTCAGGAAAGGAGGAGGTTCTGAAGTTTGTAATTGTTTTGTGGTGCCGCAAAACTTCGTCATTATACGAGTAAGTTAACCGAATTACAAAATTCTCACGTATTTGTTTGTTTAATTTTTGTAAGAGTTTGTATAATGTAAGCTCGTATGTCGGTAATATCTGGCTAGATAATGTTAATTTAATTGAAAAATACTACTAGCTCGTGGAGGGTTCCATGTGACCGCATAAGACTGCGGTAACAATTGAAGGGTTGAGTGGACAAAGGTTAAGACCTTTGTCCACTCAACCCTTCAAGTGTTTGAAAATGTTAATCTGGTATGAATGCTTGTCAGATAAGACCTTTGTTAAGGTCTGTATTTTTGACACGTAGTAAAATTTGCGTGTTTTGAGCTCATTAGTCGATTTTATCATCACTTAAAACCTATGTTCATGCAAAAAAGTCGATTCTTCAGTTTTGTCAGATAACACCTTTGTCCACTTACCCTTTCAATTGATTTCTATTTTATTTCAATTTGCTGGCTACGCTACTTATTTTTATTTGAAGTAAACTAAAATGTATGTTTCTAGTAAACTAAAATTCATTTAAATGTTACGTGATATTTTATCTGATTGATACATTTTTTTTTTATTTTCACCTAATAATCTCTTTTCATACGGAGAAAAGTATATTTATAAGCGCGTTATCGATAAATAAACATTTTTCATAAGTGGTCACGGAGGAACATCACTAGTTTCGGCCAATTTATTGAAACGAAGGCATAAAATGGGATTCTGCGGTTTCACGAAGCCGATATGTTGCGCAGATGTTTTTACTTAGCCCGTTAATTTTGTATTTAGTTCAGTCTTTGATCATAGTTGAGGTGAACACGGTAACATCACTATTTTACATTTAAATGTTAATTACGCCTCGTTTTAATCAAATCAAAAACATTTTATTCAATTTTGACCACTGGTGGCACTTATGAACGTCAAATACAGTAAAAAAAAGGTAGCCCTTAAGGGGCACTTTACATGTCTCCTTACCTCCTGGGCCCTACCAGCGCTTCGAGACAAACATAATAAGGAAAGTGCTGAGAAGAAACGCCGGAACAAACTCAGTCAGTTTATCAGTAGTATTCAGTGCAGGAACACGACACTCTCCAATTTACTAGAGGCAAATGTATTTGGCCTACACTCCCCACGCTGGTCAGACGTGTTGTTTACACCTTATTTTAGAGATTAATGAAAAAGTATGGTAAAACCTGCAAACCGCAAACTATGTAAACTTACGTAATTTATAGCTGGCTATAAATAAAGTTAGCACGTAAAAATATCTAAGCGTTACTAACGTAGCTTCGTTTTAAGCCTGTAACCAGCTTAAATCTGGACTGATATAATGAACATTCGCTGGTCGAACCATGCGCTTAGTCGCTTAAAGCTGTTCATACGGCATGTGTTATGCGTCCACTGGCCATTTCAGCTAATATCATTCCACTTTTGGACGTAAGCAAAGGTTTAGCCCGCTTTAGCACAATTCTCGTTATTAGCGAGTCATTTGGTATGTGAGCTTCCTTCGGAGACGTTATCTCAATTTCACAACTAGTTTATTCCACTAAAAAACTCATAAAACTCATTTATTTTTGCAAATAGGCTTTTAAAAAGCACTTTTACACGTCCCAATATTAACCCTACCACTGCTTCGGGACAATAAATGGGCCAGTGCTGAGAAGAAGCAGCACAAGCAACTCAGTCACTATTGTCAGTCTCCTTTTCAAGGGTTTATAGTCTTTAAAATATACAAATTATAGTCATAAGTATTGATGCGAGCTAGGTAGTTAAACATTCCAAACATTTTTATCTTTTATACATATAATCACTGGTTCTATTTTGTTAAATTCTGTTAAATTCTATAACAGAATTGCTGCTGGCTGCTGTTTTCTTATCAACATCATCTTCACCAGGTCATTTAGTATCTACTTAAAGAGCACGACTGTGTCTAATTTCATCTTCTTATTCGTTACGCTCTTGACCGAGCGGTTGTGGTCAGGATGAGGCGTTCACGTCGTTCTAATTTATCGACTTGTCGGCCGTTTGGTGTAGTGGTTCGAATCGGACTACTATTCCGGAGGTTGCGGGTTCGATTCCCGCACAGTACAAACATTTGTGTGCATGAACATATTTGTTTGTATTGGACTGGGTGTTTTCTATGTATAATATGTATGTATTTACAAAAAAAAAAAAAAGTATTTAAGTATGTTTATATCCGTTGTCTAGTACCCATAGTACAAGCTTTGCTTAGTTTGGGGCTAGCGGCGTAGTGTAAAATGTCCAAGGATATTTATTTATTATTTATTTATTTATAATTTACCAGCGGCAAGAGGAGGATGCCCTATACTCTCCACACTAGTCAGACGGGTTGAGGAAGCTTGATGTCCGCATATTTCTTTTTTAGTCACCTCTTGCGATATCCACATTGAATTGGACAAACTTAGTCTTCAATAGTTGGGTTCTTCAATAGACGTCCACTGCTGAACATAGGCCTCCCCCAATAACTTCCACATCGCACGGTTGGTAGCGGCCTGCATCCAGCGCCTTCCTGCTACCTTTAACAGGTCGTCGGTCCACCTTGTGGGTGGACGTCCCATGCTGCGTTTGTGTTAATAGTAAAAATAACAAAATTATGTCGTACAAACCTACTTTACCTTTCTACTTTGTGCCTTGCTCGGTTTATAAATAGCTGTTTACTGTTAGCGTCCTGCAGCTCCTTTGACGCATTTCAGAGGTAATTCTGTTTACTAACACGAATATTGTACGGTGGACTACGGTTCATGCTGCTTTGTAGAGAGCTGGTATTTTGATTGCCATTTAGGTATTTTATGGTTATAATTTGGGAGGTTGGTCCCTTAAATTATGTTTTGGAAACTAAGCTTAACTTTGTAAATTGCGAAGACAGATTGTAATCAAAAGCCAAACTAGGTCGAGTATCTTAAAAAATGTAAAGTAAGCCTATGTTCTCCATTGCAAGGCAAAGGCATCACAAAAGTGAGTTATTAATGGGTTAATAATTGTTTGGGTTAATTTCTATACTACATGATCATTGGTGAAATAATATAATCTGTATTGATCTAGTAAAAATTGTTAGGAGTGTAGTAAAATAAGGTAAGTGGTTGATAAAATTGTATTACCAAGCTGCTTGAAAACCTCTGTCTCATCACTAGCTTCTATAAAAATACACTGGTAGTTCAATAAAAGCACAAAGAAAGAAGACAAAGTGAACTGAGCAGTGCCACCCTGTCGCATTCGCGATGCCCATCGCAAGGGGACCCTTCTCAGCATATGTCGTCACGATGACGAAGGCCACGACGCTAGTTTTCAGTGTGCCCCATGTCGAGAGAGACGCATGGACTGTAAGATTGATCGTTTAGAAGTATCCAGTGTCACCTTTTATTTTACCTTTTCAAGGTTTCAGTTTATGGGATGATAATAATATAGCATGTGCTGACGTTTCTATGGAAAAAGCAAGTCCCTGACAACATGACAAGTTTGAAAATTATAAATAACTTGAAAAAATCGAACTGCCTAAGGCGGGAATTGAACCCACGACCTTCCGCTTGCCGGGCGACTGCTCTTCCAACTGAGCTACTTAGACACTGGATGAACCCGTCGTTTCGTCGTCGTAGTTTGAGATGAGACTCTTAATGCTAATAATCAAATAAACATGACACGTGTCAGTGAGTGAGAATTTATAAAAGTAAAACATAAATATGAAAAGTGATGCCGAGGACTTTATTTTAGTTCTTGAATTGTTCGTACACTTTTTATAACACAAGAATGCACTGCGCGCGTGTAAGTATTGCATACATAAGACCGACTGTGACTTCTGTCAAAAATGATGTCGCAGGACATCATTTAAGCGTGACACTTTAGAGACGCTTATGCCGTATCTCCTCTTTTTGTTTTAATCTAAGGTATTATCTTTAATGTAGCCATTGCTACTGATAAATGCTATTAATTTAATAGCCAAACAAATAGTATTGTAAAGTCTGTGATTTTTATTTTCTAGATTACAGTATTCGCAACGAAATTATTCATAGCTGCAAATTAAATGTGGTTGGAGCTCCAATACAAAAGTAAATGGCATTTTTGTTATTGGATATCACGGAGAATCTGTTCTGAATCATTTACCGTTCGCTCTATGAAAATCTGCGTACAAAATATAAAGTAAAATGGATTCGATTGTAAAGGATTGTGCGATTAATTACTTGAATGTAATTAATAATATTCATAATTATTAGTGTTTTCTGTTTGAGAAGATAATATCAGAATATTCAAACAAAAGTTTATTAATAATACCGAGCGGAAAGTGCTGGAATTTCACTTTATTTCTATTTATATAGGCATGCAATGCAAATGGAAAAAGCCCTTTGACTTTGTGCTATCTGTAACTGTACAGACCTATGTACTGAAAAATTATAATCGAAGCTTTTTCAGCTTTTATTTACAAGTGGGTAGGTATATTTAAAAACAAATCTGAAAAAAAAGAGAAAACTGCGCCGGAAGACGCGTTCACATAGTTTCAGCCTGTATTACCGTCAGCGAACACAAACTGGGGCATTCAGCACATCCAAATCACTGGGACAACATAACGGTTCATTAGAGCGACTGCCTTAGGCGCTACCCAAACAGCCGCCATTTTATTTCGAATACTGCAAGATGTCGCTCCACCGCTCACGCAAAAATCATGCGCTCGTAGCGTTAATTCTACTGAACTGTGTAACGTCGATTTCGGGGGAGGTTCGGCAAAAAAGGTACCTCGTGTACCCAGACGGAGGCCCGGCGAGAACGCAGGTAATTTTCTTTGATTCTTATATAGGCTGATGTGTGATTTGCCAGCGGTTTTTGATGTGTAAGGTAAACATGAAGCGTACAGAAATTTGTTTATTTTGGTTATTTGGGGTCACAGACATAGGTGGCCTTTATTTGTATAGTAATAATGATGTCTAAAAATTACCATATTACACACTTAAGTTTATTATTTTATGACATTAAATTAGTCTGCGCTTTTAATTCGCGTTCTTTTTTAGTTTTCAATTTATGTTTATTATTATGGATACACACGAGTACTATGATTTATTCAACTTACGTTAAATGTAATTATCCGTTATCTACTTGAAACGCTCTACATTTTTATAGCAGTCGAGCTCGTTCAAAGAAACCTTTTTAACTCAAGAAAATCCTAGGTCTTTTGCGATTTCTACATACTAAAAAAGCACCCTCTACACATAACTCAGCTGATTTAACTTAAGTAAATGGTTTTCTTTGCACTACGGATCCGGCTTAACGAAGCGGCGTATTTTTTTGTTCGAGAATTTAAATGCAATTAAGTTCTCCCAGCCCTCCTTTCGGCTCATAGTGAAAGATTCCCTTCGACTCTTTTTGTTCGACTTAGACATGTTCAAGAGCGAAATAACGGACGTAATTGGATTCTATCGAGTTTGAATTTAATTAACGGGGTTTGATACTTATGTTGCTGTTTAAGTAGGGTTAAATCATTTTGGAATGCCATTTGTTTCCTTAATATTTAAAGAAGATTTGTTGCGGAAACAAACAGCAGTTACCTAGAAAGGTATTCAATAGTAAAATAATGATTGCAAATGAGAAGAATACTTTGTTAATGTCTAGGCTATAAGTATACTTCTACAAAAAAAGGCAGTTACTATCCGTGAACGTCAACGTTTTAAAATTGAGTACACGAGGTCAACCGTGACCGGTTGATATTCGGAAATATTGGAGTAGGCCTATTTTCAGCAGTGTACGACGTACGTCCTGTGGCTTATGTGATGATGGCATTAACGCGTGTTATCTACGTGGATTTCTTAATGGAACCAAAAATCTCGAATTCATCAGATAACATTTATAAGGGAATAATAAAACAGTGCCTAATTTTTTCTTTCAGTTTATCATAGGTCTGGGTATTCCAGTCGACTTGAAAGAAGCATCAGTGACAGTCGGTACAGTAATCAAATTCCAATATGACTTGCCCACCAATTCCACTGAATATACATCCAGAATATACGGCTTTGCCAATACTATCTCCAGCAGAGACATGGTCAGTGAAAACGAGAATCCTGAGCAAGAGAATGAAATAGACGTAGACGATTCTAGAAAGCTGAGTGAGACAGAAGATATTGATGTTGATAATGACAATGAAAATGATACGTTAGTGGATATCACGTTTGATAGAAAACGTAGGGCGACGCTGTATTCTGAAGGAGGAGTTTTAAATAGTGTTGATGACGCAAATACAGAATTACCTCTAGANAATCTATCGAGTTTGAATTTAATTAACGGGGTTTGATACTAATGTTGCTGTTTAAGTAGGGTTAAATCATTTTGGAATGCCATTTGTTTCATTAATATTTAAAGAAGATTTGTTGCGGAAACAAACAGCAGTTACCTACCTTTATAGTATTCAAGATTAAAATGATTGCAAATACAAATATCTTAGTATAAGATAGTTTAATCTGAGTTTAGGTATAGGTACTTCTATCATGTTATATCTACGAAAAAGGCAGTGTCTATTGATGAACGTGTACGTTTTAAAATTGAGTGCACGAGGTCAACCGTGACCGGTTGACATTCGAAAATATTAAAGGATGCCTATTTTCAGCAGTAGACGTCCTGCAGCTGAATTGATGATGACAACACTAGACATTAACACGTGAATTTCTTAATGGAACCAAAAATTTCGAATTCGTCAGAATAATAAAACAGTGTCTAACTTTTTCTTTCAGTTTATTATAGGTCTGGGTATTCCAGTCGACTTGAAAGAAGCATCAGTGACAGTCGGTACAGTAATCAAATTCCAATATGACTTGCCCACCAATTCCACTGAATACACATCCAGGATATACGGCTTTGCCAATACTATCTCCAGCAGAGACATGGTCAGTGGAAACGAGAATCCTGAGCAAGGGAATGAGATAGACGTAGACGATTCTAGAAAGCTGAGTGAGACAGAAGATATTGATATTGATAATGACAATGAAAATGATACGTTAGTGGATATAACTTTTGATAGAAAACGTAGGTCGACGCTGTATTCTGAAGGGGGAGTCTTGAATAGTGTTGATGAAGCAAATACAGAATTGCCTCTAGAAGAAGCGATAAGAAGACAAGAGAAGATTGATAGAGAATATACTGAGAAAGAGCCTCAGAGGATGAATAGATGGGACTTTTACAAAATCATCGAGCACATGGTTGAAAGGTGAGAAAATTTAGTAGATAATTTGGTTCGGTTGGTTTGACATACCTATATATTTTAAAATGCTGTACTATACTGTCAAAAGAATTCATGAATTTCTTTTTATCCGCGCTAGTGAACTTTGCCAATTTTGTTAGTTACAACTTAATTATAACTCATTAAGGCTGAGTTGCACCATCTTAATTTGACTGTAACAAACGTCAAAAATCTTTCAAACTCCATACAAAAATCATCGTTAAAGTTTCGGTCAAAGTTTAGTGGTGCAACTCAGCCTAAGTAAGTAACTAAACGCAAAAAATATTGAAATAGAAATTGAATCTCTTGATGATCTCATCAAATCACTAGGAAAATAATTCAGCCTTATTTGTTTGCAAGATTTCCATAGTCCACTAGCGCTTACTACATTGTTTACCAAGAGCCTTTTTACGTGCGCTCAATCATGCCATGCATGTAAGAGCATCAATTTCAAATTTCCCTCTGAACAGAATTTTCCAGATTTTTGAATTTAGAGAGGTTGTGCATTAAAAATCCTTCGCTATGCTTCTAGGTACGGCTATTCAGGGCGGCCATGCTTACTGAGAACAATCTGTGAGGCGGCCGAGGTTCCATTCAACCACGAAAACGGGTTACTCGCAGAGATTGGTCATATACTATTCACGTAAGTAAATCTCGGTGTAGCTGCATTAAAGAATTTAAAGGCAAAAATCTAAGCGAGTGAAGCGAGATTAATTTTGCATTTCCTTGAAAATGGGGAAGCTTGTGCGGATTAACTGTACCCATGTTAATGCGGAAAGTTATTACGGGATATTGACATGATTCCTTAGAAGAATTTAATCATTGCAATACCCATGGTGCAATAATACGGGTTCTTTGTGGATTACCATCATATTTACAGATTTTGTGCTGTTTAGTGTTTAGCCTTTGTGAGGAAATCCCATACTAATAATGTTTCATCAGACTTTATTTGAGACTAAGTTTTTAAATTAAATATTATATTTCATTTTTTGGTGGATCTTTTTAATTAGAGAAAATTTTTGGCATAATGGTAACGAACTACTATTTAGATACTTCGTTTGCCTTTATGTTCTAATATATTTGAATGATTGGCTGATTTGTAACGATTTACTCAGATCAGTATAATAATGTATATTCGAGTTCAAATTATCATTAAGGCCTATTCAGTATTCGCTACCGTCTGCGGCAGAGAAAACCCAGTGGGTATGCGGTAATAATACTGTTCAGACCTAAGCGGTATTCGCTACCGTCTGCGGCAGAGAAAACGCTCTAGCCGCGGTACTTGATACTAAATACCTGAGCAAATCCCGCGCGGTATGTACCTCTACCCACAGCGGCAGCGAATATCGCTCAGGTTTGAATGGGCCTTTAAAATGGTATTCAATCCGGTATGTGCACCACCAACCCAGACGGCCGTAAAAATATTAATTTCTTACAAACCACTCTTATCATAAATGTAAAATTCTGTCTTTTATTTCCAGGCCATCGACAACAAAAGACGAGCTGTCCCACCACACGGACGTCGAGTACCACGCGGCGGAGCGCCTCGGCAGAAGCGCGGGCGCCGGCTGCGAGGCGCTCTTCCCGGAGTGCGAGAGCTCCATCCTGGACACCTTCACCGAGATTGGAGAGGACACCCTGCATAGATTTGGACTTTGATTGACTTTGGGCTTTGAAATAAACGGATTTTCTTCAGCCTTTCTTTTTGCTATTACACATTTTTAAGGCATCATCTCCTAGACTTTACATTTGTGCATAGCACCTGTCACAGCTTCATAACACGCCCTATGGCCATAGATGTCCGTATACTCGTAGTCTCCTAGATCCTATGCATTTGTTTTGACAAAAGACTATCGGACTTATTTTTGAAGCATTCACATTTCGAATACTCCAACCATGGACCTNCCTTTTTTTATAGGTCCATGACTCCAACCCTTTACGAATTTTGATACAATTTGCGTACCTAATTGTGAAACAAAAGACGATCTATCTCACGACACCGACTCTTTTGATAAGAGACAATCTACAATCGCTTGCATCTTTGAAGCATTTGAATTTGGTAATACTTACAAGCACAATGTAAAAGACAAAAGGCGAGCTGTCCCACCACACGGACGTGGAGTACCACGCGGCGGAGCGCCTCGGCAGAAGCGCGGGCGCCGGCTGCGAGGCGCTCTTCCCGGAGTGCGAGAGCTCCATCCTGGAAGGCCATCACCGAGATCGGAGAGGACACGCTGCATCGATTCGGACTTTGATTAAATAAACGGACTCTGCTTATGACTATAAGCTTTTGTTTTTTACTTGTTTAGGGTCCAAACATGCGGACGCCAGAACAGACTTAAATGCTAATGCACTTCTTTCGTAGAAATAGGAGCTACTACTCTGTATAAAGACACATGTTTTTTGTTTGTTTCCAAAATGCCAGTTTTCTATTTGGCACCGACTACGCATTTGTTTTGACAAAAGACGATCGGACGTCTTTTTGAACATTTCGGATATCGAATCATCTACACACCGTCATAGAACAAAAGACGATCTATCACACTACTTTTCCGAATTTAAATACAATCTTAGATTAAGAGCGTTGTCACATTTTTCATGCAGAAATCGAGAATTTGGCAGATTTCGAAATGATTTTAGTCATATAATTTATTGTTATAGCTTCTTTTGACTTATATCATCGTAATTATCATACGTTTTTCCGGAATGTCTATTGACAAAATCTCGTTCAAATTGGATTTTTGCCTACGAAAACAGCGAATTTCGAAAGCCCAATTTCCAGGTAACTCGCGAAGGCACAACTTTGAACTAATATTACGTACAACAAATTTATTTTTAAGTAAGAAGATATAATGTATTCATTAGAATAAGCATACCCTGAAGAAGAAAGTGTATTGAGAAAATTTTGATGTTTAATTCATTAAAATGCATTTTTATCATGTCTAAGATGGTCAAAATTCGAGAAAATTACTGCAAGAAAACAGGTCAGATCTCATAATCTAAAAGTGCCGCTGTCGGTAGAGGTATATACCGCGCGGGTTTCGCTCAGGTATTTAGTATCAAGTATCGCGGCTAGAGCGTTTTCTCTGCCGCAGACGGTAGCGAATACCGCTTAGGTCTGAATAGGCCTTAAGGCTTTTTTGNATTTTTGTGAAAATTCTTACGCATGGTGGAGGAAGGGACGCTCTAGAGACTCAAGTCTACAAGGAGTCATATGAACTCCAGTTTTAACACTAGAAAGGCCGCTGTCCCATTTTTGTCCCACTCGCGAGTTTGATCCTCTCTAACTTTTTTATTTTTCAACGAAAGTCCATGAAACTTTTTACTTTTTCTGATTTATTGAATTTTATCATTTTTTAATGTTTTTGATAATATAACATTAATAGATTTTTTTTTAAATCGGTTTTACCTAAAAGCGCCACTGGGTCAATTTTGTCCCACCCTGGTATTTGCCACAATAATTCGATGAATAGTCCTTTTTTCGAGGAGATACGAAAGTGGAGAGGCGAGGAGACTTTAGGTGACTCGTGACAATGCAGAAATGTAAATATTTTGTACTAGTTTTTACCTGTGAGTTCACCCGTGAGAAATTAAGTTTATCATAGAAATACCTAATTTCTTGACACTTATCGTTGCTTTTTGACCAAATAACTGAATATTATACTAAATTATAGCCTATATTATGTTATTCTGAAGTATTAACAATAAAACTGCGAAGTTTTATTAAGATCGGCTTAGTATTTTTTGCGTAAAAGAGTGAAAAAACATCCATCGATCTAACCATGAATCAATACTCATTTAGTTCAAGTTCCAGGCATATATCCACCCATTAATCCTTCCTATCCATTCATCAGTCCATCCATCCTTCAATTCATCAATATTTATTAACTTTTACATTTATAATATTAGTAGGAAGGTGGCTTCTAGACATAAGCCAGCTCATACATTGTATGATTTGATACATTTTTAAAATGTGTGACTTATAAAATTTTGAAGATAAAACGTACATACTTTCATTGTAATTGGTAAAAAACTTCATTGTTTGTGTACAGATAACAGAAAAATAACCATTATAAGAGACAAAAAACCATTATAATTTGTAAGATATTTATTTTTTCTTTAAAAATAATAATGACTAGTTAAAGTACTAATTTCATTATTTTAATACAGTATAACACCACGTAATATGTGACTATTTTTAAATGAAACCAAAAATATCTGACTTTTAATAATTTAAAATTAAAATTGAATACATTTATATTTTTAAAGAAATAAGTACATATTAATTTAACTACATAGATAAACCTTTTTTTAAGGACACTACAAATAGTTTTAACCATAATATTCATGCCTGAAACTAAAAAATGTTACAAAATACATGCTGGGACAAAATTGACCCAGCGGCGCTTTTAGGGGGGTCGTAATCTTCGGCACTTCTAGTGTTAAATCCGTTGANTTCCTCCATAAGCGCCACCGCGCGACTGATTGAGATTGTCCAAGCCGTCATGGACGATTTTTTCCACATTTTTTAACATAGTAACTAAATAAGACGCAATATGAAAATTTCATCCGTTAAAAGCCCTCAAGTTATTTCTGAACTTTAGTTTAGTAAAAGATTTAGAATCTCAAATCGCTTATTTTAAAAATAAAACCATAAATAGAAAACGAATAGAGGTAACTTTGGGAATTTATTCTATCGAGTCAACTTCATCAAATCGTGTTTCCATCCATTAATAACCCTAGAAAATATCCTCAACTATGCCCAATAAAAATCTTAGCCTTTAATTTTACTGTTTAGTACCTCAAAAATGAAAAATGAAAACCTCATTTTCGCCATTTTCTCTGCTACCCGGCCTTTTGCCAGCCTGCCTTACCTTTGCTTTTAGGGTTCCGAATATGCTAGAGGAATATAATATATTCTGAAATGATTCCTATTTATTACGGCTTAGGTACCGACATCTCGTAAGATGCTAGAGATTAACCCGTTGTCCATAAAGTCCGCGAATAGACAAACGTAGCATTTATACAACTTGACTCAAACTTATATTGTAATCGTATACTCGTAGTTAACACAGAAAACTGGACTAGGTTTGAAATAAAAATGCTAATTATTTTAAATTTTTAATTAGTTGGCTAGCTAAAATTAACTCAAACTAAAGCTGTCTTGTCACTAATGGTGGGATTATGTAATATCTATTGCTATTATGAAACAGTATGCGCTTTTGTGAAAAGATCTAATAGTGATATTGTACAGGGACTATAAATTCTAGTGCAATCTTCTTGGTTTTCTCCTCGCGTGTAGGCAGTCACGTACGGATGGATCTCTTCTAAATAGAGCGTGTGCTCTATATCGTTTTTGGGACTGAAAAAGAAAGTAAACATTAGTAAGGTAGGTACTATATATTATGCTTGTAGTTCATATAGAGTAGAATGGCACTACCCACTCTTCCCGTGGCTGTCATGGAGGCAACTAAGGGGGAGGAACATGCGACCATAAGATGTTCCCAACCCGTCCCAGCGTCGGGAGTGTAAGCCAAAGCAGTAGCGTAAGTAATAGGTCGTCCTCTTACAGTGGGAGACTAAATCATGATGATGACGATGATATTACGCCCGTATTCACAAACATTACTATGAGGTCTCACAGTGCGCGTGGACGCACAGGGTCACATGCGAACCAATCACAGATCTCTAATCAACGCTGTGCGTTCCATTTGATGCGTCACTTAAGCAAGCATCGTTTGTGAATATGGGTGTTGTTATACGGTTTGTTATCTGACGAATCTCGCTCAAAAAGCCCCTGGTGAAAAGAGAGGTCATTTTCGTGTACTGGAGATTATAATATGGCCTTATAATAATAACAGTGGTATAAAGAAGGCGCTGGATGCAGGCCGCTACCAACCCAGCGATGTGGAGATCATTGGAGGAGGCCTATGTTCAGCTGTGGACGTTCTATGGCTGAAATTATGATGATAAACAGCATATAACCGACTAATCTCGCTCGAAATCGATCGAATTGTGATCGTCATTTCACAATAGAGTCTAGAATGCTTATCAAAATGATCAATTCAGTGACATAGGTACTTGAGAGATGCAATTAGTGGCCAAAGCCACTGGCTTAATCAATTGTGTAAACGAGGTGGTTGCAAGGTTATCAATCAACACGCGTTATGATGTGGTGAATCAATTAATGCACTTGCAGAGGGAATAATCATTTTAATCATTAATTGATTATCCGTGAGTTGGTTTTAGAAAGCTTTTTGTAGAGCTATTTTCGTCTGATGTAATACTACTTTCTAAGATTAACCTGTCACTAGGTACTTCAGGATGATACATTTTCCAGTGCTGAGAATAATAAGCAAAACAAATTCGAAAACTATGCTTGATATCGCTGAACTGATTTAAACGAAATTTACCATAGAGATGATTTAGTGAAAGACATGCGATTGTTTTTTCCCGGTTTTTAGGGTTTCGTATTTAAACAGGAATGCGCATGATAAAGTATTTCTGTGACAAAATGAAATTCACGCGGACAGAGCCGTGTTATATAAATAAGGGTTCCTTGTCAGGACTACGGAACCCTAATAAAAACTGTCTCTAATGAACAATGAACGAAAGCACTTAGTAATAATAATAATATTTAAAATTAAGAACCAAAGTTAATAAAGAGAATAATAATAATAATAAATACTCTTTATTGCACACCACATTGTAAAAAGAAACAGAAAGAAAAGGAACACATAAGGTACAATTAGGCGGTCTTATCGCTATGAAGCGATCTCTTCCAGACAACCTATAGAGAGGACAGTTACTTAAAACAGATGAAGGGGAAGGCGGTGTCGACACTAATGAAATAAATAATAATAAACAAAAGTGTAAAATTTAACCCAAAATAATACATACAAATAACATAAAATATATTAATATATACATACATATACATATAACATATAATATATACATACACATACAATTCTTGATACGAACCAAAGATAGAACTAGATAGCCAACAGAAAATAGATAGGAATTTTAAGAAGCTAAAAGGAATAGAGATGTAGGGAAATTAAGGTAGCAACGTGAGGAAGTGAGACTTGAGTCTTTTCTTAAAAATAGGAAGTGACTCAGATTGCCGAATAGACATCGGCAAGGCGTTCCATAGACGGATAGCTTGAACAGTGAAAGATCGCGTATAGGAATGGGAGGTGTGAGAAGGAAAATTAAGATGGAGTTTTTTTGACGACCGCATTTCGTGACCCAGAGCCGACTGCATAAATTGAAAACGCTCCTTCAAGTATGGTGGAATCTTTGAGTTAAAGAGGATAGAGAAAAGAAGGGATAGGATGTGACAGTCACGCCGACGTCTGATCGGTAACCATTTTAGCTGGGCTCGGTACTCAGAAACATGGTCATACTTTCGCAGGCCGTAGATTATACGAATGCAAAAATTTTGGAGGCGCTCGAGCTTAGCCAAATGGGTTTCGTTAAGGTCAGGATAGCAACAGTCGGCGTAGTCGAGAATAGGAAAGAGTAAAGCTTGAACAAGAGCAATTTTGGTGGGTATGGGTAAAAAGTTTCGCAACCTATTTATTGACGCTGCAGCCGCAAACACCTTCCTGCTGACCTCCCCAATCTGGGTTGTCCATGTGAGAGCACTATCGATGTGAATGCCGAGGTTCTTCACGACTTTGCTAAAAGGTATCTGGACACCGTCAAACATNTCTTCTGAATATGCTCTCCGTCAAGTCAAGAGTCCTATAAATACGTGTGATTTTTTTCAAGTCCGTACTTCAATTTTAAAGGTACTTTTTTCGCCCCAGTAGGTCGATCGGTCGTCCCCGTAGAAATGCCCTTAAACACTTCAAGAAAAGTAATCGAATTTGATAATTCCTATTCCATGTTCCTAACTTAAGTCATCCAAATGATCATTTCAAATTGACCTCGACGACAGAGCGGGGGCAATCAGTAATGTATAGCCATTGTGGCTTAATCAACGGGGCAAACGAGGCGGTTACCAACCTATCAACACGCATTATGATGTGGCCAATCAATCCACTAGCAGGTAACAGACATGTAAGTACGCCTTGGTTGAGAAAATGAAATGATTAGAATCTTTCTGGATTGTAACTTAGTGATGTAGATTTTTTAACATGAGCTTTTGTTAAATATTTAATGTGTTGGCTTTGAAGCAGATACAGTGTAAATGCGATCTTTAATGAAGTGAGCTTTAAGGTTGAAAATATTTCGATAGTCAGATGCTGTGTGGTTTCGGAAAAGTATAATAGAACCAGCCACTCCTCGCGTGGATATTGTAAAAGGCGAATAAAGGACAAACATGCGAACATCAGGCGTGCCCAATTCGTTTTTCCAGCCTGCGAAGTGTACGTTAAAAACTTCAGTTGCGTTACAATGGTACGCGTGTCCTATGACGATGATGACTATTATGAAAGGAATCCTAAAGATGTAGAGCGTTTTATAGGTACATCGACAGACCAGTGATCTTCCAGTTATGGTCTGTACTTTTAACAGAAAACATGAATGTAAATAACTCACTTTAGAACGTAAGCAGCTATCTCATGCAGCAGATCATCGTCTGTAGAGTGTAGTGGTTCCGCTCCAAGTTGACACAGCGTCCGAAACACGCAGGCGGTACCGTTGTGACCGAAACTGGAATGAATACATAAACATTAGCAATCATTGGTGAGGAATATAAAAAAGATCAAATATGACCTTATACCCGACCCACCGATTACTTTGCAGCGCTAGTCTTAAGAAAATTAAGTTCAATAATATATAAATAAAAAAATCATTATTATAAAAAAAGTTTCAAGTGGCTACCACGGACTAGAAAGTGTAGTGTAGGTACCTAAGCTTTTTACTAAATGACTTCTGACAAACTGTCGAAAGTTGCGAGAAGCGCCTGGTGCAAGCGGCGCAGGACCGGCGGTTGTGGAAATAATTGAAGGAGAGCTTGTACGTAGAAGTAAAAGATATATTTATAGATAAGTGCTTAATAGTTTGTAGTTTATTAACTACAAGTTATCTAACCGTCAATAAAATTAAATGTTTTTGGTTTATTAATCTTATTTTTGACTTGATTATAAGTTGCCAGCGTGCAAAACAAAACTTAGGTACTTTACATACTATAAATAAACCCAAAAACAAAATTATTGAGCTTACTTAACGAAATCGCGATAAACAACAACTCTCAAGTTGTAAGCCGTGGCCTGTCCGTAAGTTATGCCTGGCTTCCACCAAGGCGGAGCAGTGCGGAGCGGAGCAGAAAAGGTTTTTGAATAACGAATCAGATTCCATTATTTGCACATCTCTACTCCGCTCTGATTCGGTGGAATAATGGATCGGCGGATAAGTTTCTGACTCACTTGTTTTTCTATAGAATTAAGGTGCGGAGAAGGGCGAAGAAGAGCGATTCACTTGTTTTTCTAGAGAATGAAGGTGCGGAGAAGAGCAGAGAAGAGCGAAGAAGAGCGGAGAAGAGCCGAGAAGAGGGGAGAATAGCGGAAAAGAGCGGAGTAGTGCGTAGATGTGCGGTTTTTCATAGATAGCAATAGACTGTCAGCTGACAGCTACGCACAGCTTACACATCTCCTCTCGTCTCCGCACCGCTCCGCTCTTCTCCGCTTCGCTTTGGTGGAAATAGCCTGCTAGCTTGCTCCACAGCACCTTGGTGGAAGCCGGGCCTTATTTACTCTAACAATAAAAATGTTATTCTTCCATTCGCAATTTAAATACCAATTTATGTTAATGAACAAAGTCCAACGCTGAGTTAAACAAACGTTATTATTATTCCGTTGAGTAAATAGCAATAAATTACCTACAGTATGACATTCGGAAAATGGGAATCGACTAAATAAATTTATGTGAAAATTGCTTCCCGACGTAGGTATAATTGCTGGATATATAAATCGACAGTATCTTTCTGTTGATTTAAACCACAATTCAGAGAGGAGCAGAAAAATCCATTTTGTTTTGATTTGTGAAGAAACAACTTTTAGGTAAACTCATATTTTTAGGCGAGTCATGGCAATTTTCTTAAAGACTTGGTGACATTTTGGTATGAAAATGAATTAAAAAAATGAGCGAAAGCCTTCACTAAAAGCTCTTCTACACATTATTAAATGGATTTTTAACTTATTCGAGTGGTCTTTCTGTGTAGTTATAATTTTTGTTAAGAGTTAAAACAGGTGTACTGATAAATAATAATCCATCAATGTCTATGCTCATGCAGATGCGAATTCATATTTTAACTTTCTGTCCATAATAAATTGTCAATATTTATTGACTTACAAGTCCAAGTGATAAGGTAGCAGGAAGGTGCTGGATGCAGGCCGCTACCAACCGTGCGATGTGGAAGTCATTGGGGGAGGCCTATGTTCAGCAGTGGACGTCCTGTGGCTGAAATGATGATGATGATTGACTTGCAAAGAAAAAGTCGTAATTTTTTCACTTACCCATCCAAAGCCCCTTCCACATACTTGTAGAAATGGTACAATCTGGAATCATTTTCATAATCGCCTATCTCATCCTCTCTCTTTTTCCTAGACGATGTTGTTATTCCATTATTTGCGACCAAAATGTCAAAAGGTATCTGAGATCTATTCCAAGGCAGTTGGAAGTTGGCCTGGAATGCCCAGTTGACGTTTATAAGCGCAGCAGGAGACGGCGTTCCAATACCCATATTGAACTGAAAAATAACAGCCAATGTTGGAGCCAATTGGAATGAGCAAATGTTTGGTCAAATGCTAATGTTGGGGGAACAATCAATCAATGGACGTCACATTTTAACAGTCCCGCGGGTATCATTATTTGGTATTGTGGCGATTATGGCAACAGGACGATGTCAAAGCTTTTGATTTTATGCATTGTGTGATTTGATTTGAAACTGATTTAGCAACAGTAGAGATAGCTATTGGTAAAAGTAGTTTAGTAGCCCTTGCCTTTAAATAATCTTATCATAAAACAATTGGCGAATAATCGGGACTTAGGTCATAGTTTAGTCTAAGTGCGACCTATATCCATCAGTCAAAAAGATTACAGCGGCGTGTGCTGATTCATAATCAAGATTAAAGACAGAACAATAGGTGAAATTCAGTGAGTAAAAGTACCGTCAAAACAATGATTAGCATACATTTCCAAATCAAGCTCTAATAAAGAGATCGTGATATCAATGAATTTTTAATTCAGGACATCAAACCGGATGTTAGGAAGGATGCAGACTTAACGGTTCATAAAAAATCCGTTAACTTTATTTACCTGTAGCAACGTAGAATTTGGAAATAGTAGTTGCCTCTTGCTCCTATGTATTGGATCGTCTATCGTCGTCCCACTCACACAGCTGACGAAAAATAAGATATTTGAAAGAATTAAGAGGTTATTCTTCATGGTGGTGTACGAGCGACTAAACCACGAGTGAGATTGTGAATGGCTAAGATGTTTGCATTCCGTGTTGCAATGGAGATAGCCATTGGCTAATGTATTGTATACATTACTGTTAGTTTACAAGTTCAAAAAATAAAGGCGGATATATGTACATAGACTTGGTGGTGTCTTCGCAAACATTGATGATGGATATTAGGTATATTCTTTTTGAAAGTTGGTTTTCAGTTTCATTGGATTTANCAGCCGCAAATAATGTAAATTAATTAGTAAATTATAGTAGTGTGACATAGTTTTACGTGATGATTGACAGATCATGTACAGCCACGACCTACTCACTTACCTACATTAAATGTATTTAAAAAATACTTTACATATAACTTTATGCATATTGTTTCTTAAGTAGATGGATAGTAGGTAAGCGCAAGAAATTATTTAGCGCACTGGCTTAGTTTTTTCCATACATACGACGACGTAAGATGACAATGGATGGCACATGATTTTTCCTCACTTTAGACGAAGCGCTTGTATGAGGACTATCCTCTCTATCTAACGTATCTATCTAGGTGTTAATCTAAGCTTAAACACTTCAAGAAAGTGTAATCGAATTCGATAATTCCTATTCCATGTTCCTAACTTAAGTCATCCAAATGATCATTTCAAATTGACCTCGACGACAGAGCGGGGGCAATCAGTAATGTATAGCCATTGTGGATTAATCAACGGGGCAAACGAGGCGGTTACCAACCCATCAACACGCATTATGATGTGGCCAATCAATTCACTAGCAGGTAACAGACATGTAAGTACGCCTTGGTTGAGAAAATGAAATAATTAGAATTTTTCTGGATTGTAACTTAGTGATGTAAATTCTATGATACCTATTAATTTTTAGGGTTCCGTACCTCAAAAGAAAACGTTAATACGTCATAAATTGTAAACCGCTACGTTTGTACGGCGGAACCCTCGGTGTGCGAGTCCGACTCGCACTTGGCCGGTTTTTTGAACATAATTAAGCTTTTGTTAAATATTTAATGTGTTGGCTTTGAAGCAGATACAGTGTAAATGCGATCTTTAATGAAGTGAGCTTGCCTAGAAGATTTAGATGGTTGAAAATATTTCGAAAGTCAGATGCAGTGTGGTTTCGGAAAAGTACCTATAATAGAACCAGTCACTCTACACGTGGATATTGTAAAAGGCGAATAAAGGACAAACATGCGAACATCAGGCGTGCCCAATGCGTTTTTCCAGCCTGGGATACTTCAGTTGCGTTACAGTGGTACGCGTGTCCCATGATGATGATGACTATTATGAAAGGGAATCCTAAAGATGTAGAGCGTTTTATAGGTACGTCGACAGACCAGTTATCTTGCAGTGATGGTCTGTACTTTTAACAGAAAACATGAACGTAAATAACTCACTTTAGAACATAAGCAGCTATCTCATGCAGCAGATCATCGTCTGTAGAGTGTAGTGGTTCCGCTCCAAGTTGACACAGCGTCCGAAACACGCAGGCGGTACCGTTGTGACCGAAACTGGAATGAATACATAAACATTTGCAATCATTGGTGAGGAATATTTAAAAAGTACGTCTAACGAGCTTACCCTACCAAATATCTTACAAGATTATCCATCATCATCATCATCATCATTTCAGCCATAGGACGTCCATTACTGAACATAGGCCTCCCCCAATGATTTCCATGGCCGGTTGGTAGCGGCCTGCATCCAGCGCCTTCCTGCTACCTTTATGAGGTCGTCGGCACGACAGGATTATTACTATAAATAAACATTTATTCCTCGTAGAAACTGAGGTCTTAGCGGTAGACCTCGAGTAGCCACTTCAGATTACAAGATCTTGTGTAAGTAAACTGAAGATCTCGCGAAGGTCACTAGAATCACCTGGACGCATCCAGACAGGGAGCGCAGGACGGTTGATGTGGAAAACCTTGTAGGCGATCTTTATGTTAAAACTGTGGTCTATGTGAATGAAGTAAAAGATCTCTTATAAATAGATATGTGCACAATAGTTTGTAGTTTGTTTATAACGAGTAACCTAACTGTTAATAAAATTAAATGCTTTTGATAAAACAACATTTATTTATTCATCTTATTTTTGACTTGATTATAAGTTGCCAACGTGCAAAACAAAACTTAGGTACTTCACATACTATAAATAAACCCAAAAACAAAATTATTGAGCTTACTTAACGAAATCGCGATAAACAACAACTCTCAAGTTGTAAGCCGTGGCCTGTCCGTAAGTTATGCCTGGCTTCCACCAAGGTGGAGCAGTGCGGAGCGGAGCAGAGAAGTTTTTTTGTATAACAAATCAGAATCCATTATTGCGCACATCTCCACTCCGCTCTGATATGGTGGAAATGTATAGGCGGAGAAGAGCGGAGAAGTGTCGGACTCACTTGTTTTTCTAGAACTTGACAGCGGTGGCGGCGCAGTGCGTAGAGTGCGGAGCGGTGCTGTGTTTCATAGATTTTTTTATTTTAATGTAAAGATTAATTAGTAATTTCTTTTTAAACAAATTACTAATAGTCTCATTAGCCCCTCGTGCTAAACTAAATATGCTTGTATCACGAGTGGGCTAACCACAATAGTTGAGCGGCGGAAACTGTACCCGCGTTCCCCGGATCACGAGTCGGCCAGTCCGATCCCTTCACCGTTCGGCTATCGTGGCATACGTGGCTTCAAGCGATAGATAGCAATAGACTGATAGTTGACAGCTACGCACAGCTCACACATCTCCTCTCATCTCCGCACCGATCCGCTCTTCTCCGCTACGCTTTGATGGAAATAGCCTGCTAGCTTCACCGCACATATTCTCTCGTCTCCACAGCACCTTGGTGGAAGCCGGGCCTTATTTACTCTAACAATAAAAATGTTATTCTTCCATTCGCAATTTAAATACCAATTTATGTTAATGAACAAAGTCCAACGCTGAGTTAAACAAACGTTATTATTATTCCGTTGAGTAAATAGCAATAAATTACAGTATGACATTCGGAAAATGGGAATCGACTAAATAAAATGTGAAAATTGCTTCCCGACGTATAATTGCTGGATATATAAATCGACAGTATCTTTCTGTTGATTTAAACCACAATGCAGGCAGGAGCAGTAAGCTTCATTCTGTTTTGGTAGGAAATGAATTGTTCTATCATCCATTATCTTTACATTCCTTAGAACTTTTGACAAAAAGCTTTATAGGGAAACTTACATAGGGATTTTTGTCTGGATTTTTTGTCTGAAAATGGGCGAAAACCTGCTTCACATGTTTTTTATTATTCTGAAAAAGTACTAGGTATGTCTAAACGTTAATGGGTATTCTATTAATAATTAGACATACCTAGTACCTACTTTAAATTAGTTAAAATATTTTTTTATTAATAATTTAAAATTTTTACTTTAAAATAGTACTTCAAACTTGTACGACTGGTCTTTCTGTGTATCATTTTTGTTAAGAGTTAAAACACTGTTTTATAATAGTTAATCCATCAATGTATTCGATGGTTCTGGTGCAGATGCGAATTCGTATTTTAATTTTCTGTCCATAATGAATTGTCAATATTTATTGACTTACAAAGAAAAACACGTAATTTCACTTACCCATCCAAAGCCCCTTCCACATACTTGTAGAAATGGTACAATCTGGAATCATTTTCATAATTCCCTATCTCATCCTCTCTCTTCTTTCTAGACGATGTTGTGATCCCATTATTTGCTTCCAAAATGTCAAAAGGTATCTGAGATCTGTTCCAAGGCAATTGGAAGTTGGCCTGGATTGCCCAGTTGACGTTTATAAGCGCAGCAGGAGACGGCGTTCCAATACCCATATTGAACTGAAAAATAACAGCCAATGTTGGAGCCAATTGTAATGAGCAAATGTTTGGTCAAATGCTAATGTTGGGGGAACAATCAATCAATGGACGTCACATTTTAACAGTCCCGCGGGTATCATTATTTGGTATTGTGGCGATTATGGCAACAGGACGATGTCAAAGGTTTTGATTTTATGCATTGTGTGATTTGATTTGAAACTGATTTTGGCAAAAGGGGTCAGCTATTGCTAAGAGAAGTTTTGTAGTTCTTGCCTTTAATACTTGGACAAATTACCAAGCATTTAATACTCTTAGCATAAAATTGGCGAAGAATCGGGACCTGATATAGTTTAAGTGTGACTTATGTTTATAAGGGTAGATTCGATCAAACAAGAGTAAATATTAAACTCAGAATAAATCGTCAGTTTTGACCTATTTTCCATATTGAAAGTTATACCAGGAGTTATTCTCAGATAATAGTTTGGTCGAATCGGGCCTTAGTAAAAAAGAAATTACAGCAGCGTGTGCTGATTCATAATCAAGATTAAAGACAGAACAATAGGTGAGGTTCATTGAATAAAAGTACCGTCAAAACAATGATTAACACACATTTCCAAATCAAGCTCTAACAAAGAGATCGTGATATAAATGAATTTTTAATTCAGTACATCAAACCAGATGTTTGGAAGGATGCAGACTTAACGGTTCATGAAAAATCCGTTAGCTTAAACTTTATTTACCTGTAGCAACGTAGAATTTGGAAATAGTAGTTGCCTCTTGCTCCTATGTATTGGATCGTCTATCGTCGTCCCACTCACACAGCTGACGAAAAATAAGATATTTGAAAGAATCAAGAGGTTATTCTTCATGGTGGTGTACGAGCGACTAAACCACGAGTGAGATTGTGAATGGCTAAGACGTTTGCATTCCGTGTTACTATGGAGATAGCCATTGGCTAATGTATTGTATACATTACTGTTAGTTTACAAGTTCAAAAAATAAAGGCGGATATACATAGACTTGGTGGTGTCTTCGCAAACATTGATGATGGATATTAGGTATATTCTTTTTGAAAGTTGGTTTTCAGTTTCATTGGATTTAATGGTGGAATTGAAATACTCTATCTTATCGATTAATAGGTAGGTATTTGAAATTATATGAAATTTAGGTGAATCCTAGATAATGATAGGGCAAGCTAATTATTATTATATTTGGGACGTGTAGAAGGGTCCTGAAATTGGCCTTTGTGAATTTGAATTTGATGCACAAAGTGGCAATGACATAATTTGCGTATTTCCAAAGTTCTGCAGTATTTTTTTGTTAAAGAACATTTTGCAAACTATTTATGTACTAATATTTGAAAGATTCGCATCCCCATGGTAACGTCCCGCCAACATTCGTGTAATTTTATATTGTTTTACGTAAAAAAGTCATCATTTAATCTCCATCAGTATCCATTACAGCTCGCGCACGTAATGTATCGGCTTAACAAGCACTCTTCGTCTCGTGACACGTCGGATGTTGGTATAACGAATTAGTGAGATACTGAGCGGCCAGTCATGTGACAGTTAGGTTCGGAGATTTGGTGAGCGAGTATATTGACCAAAGACAGAGGGCAAGAAAGCGGATATTTATTTTTCAGGTGCAGTTGAAGCGCGTTTCAAGCAAATGGAACAAGGTGCGTACACATCGCAGTTAACAGTTAACAGTGTTAATGTTATCAGTCATCAAAATCAATGTCACTATGCAGCAAAGTAATTTAATTTAGCAGCTCAAAAACTCGCGTCGATCGCGATGGCTGAAAAAACTTGGGCCCTAGGATACGAATGTAATGCGAGTCTGTTGTTATATAATTAAAGCCGAAGAACTGATGGGATAAATGGATACTAACATAAATTTCAGTCAATTACAGATAAATAATGTTACTCGTACTTACTCATTTTCTCAAAATCAAAAATCTCGAAGCTTTAGGGTATCACACCATACAAAACTGACAAATAAATGAAATACAAAATTTTAAGAGCACTATAATAATTTAGGCGCTGTCAATACTCAATAGCTGTTTAAGTTTTTTAGTTCCAGTTATCAAAATACGCCGGATAGCTGAAAAACTCGCTCTCTCTTATCAATAAAACCACATCCTTATTGTAAGCGTTTATGCGCGCTGCCCCAAAGCTCCGATCAGCCATTGTGACGTGCGTTATGGTCAGCCATGGCTCGGCCGTTACACTGATTTAATAGTGCATTACCGTAAATTAGTTTGTGGTTTACAAGCGGCTGTGCGAACAGTGGTGGGGATGGAGTGGTTAAAATTTGAAAATCAAAATTGAACGATGTGATTTGTGATGCAAAAATGAAACTGTAATAAACAACAAACCATAGACGGTCATGTAAAGAAAAAAACTTTTATGGAATTATTATAATTGGCTTTAGGAACGAAGGACTCATATCAAACTTTGCAATTATTCTTATTATAACCTAAGTGAAAACTATCCTTACGCTATATTAAATATGTGATTGGTATCTTAGTTTTATAAACTAAAGGCTAATGTCGAGCAACTTTTATTAATTCCATAAAAAGTATATCGAATTGAAGATCTTTATCATCGTATATTAATTATGACGTGATGAATCCATAATCCTGAGCATTGATTTGGAAAATTGCTGACGAGAAAATGATAAGTTATAACTCAGAATGTGTGAGCAATCAGTCAGTTGGATAACTGTTCGAAATGAGATATAAGTTAGCACATAATATCCATTCCCTGCTACACGTGTATCACGTTAATTCTGACGCTTATGTAAATCATTCGACGTCGAAACAGTTTTTTCGAGCTATTCGAAATATTTTATTCGTTGGATCTGAAGCTGACATAAATACATTTATTGCTGAATCATGTAAGTTAATTTTCAATATATTTTCCAGTGTTTAAAATACTTGATGTGTTATTCAGGCTGTAGTCTTATCTAAATGGTTTTGTGATCGACGGGAAACCCACAACCCGACCTAGAGCTTTATATTGTAAAGTAAGAGTGTCTGAATTCCTATGATCCCTTCTGAAATCGAACCTAGGGCCTCCGGTATTAACGTTTACCACTAATAAACGTATTGTCAGTCATATTTAGTTGGACGCTGCATCTACATAGATATGACAAATCCGTATTTAGAACATTGTTAAATACGTATATTACGAGTATGTAAAACAAAAGATTTCCGTATGGAATTTTGACCCGGATCTTTGGATTTGTGACGCATACACAGTCAAATGAAAAACATAATTTGACTCAATCACTACAGATGATAGTAAATCAATTCTAACCGTTGCATATTATGTACATTGTTGTGATAATGCAAAATGCTATCAACTTCACTATCACTAATTTACTGTCAGCCGTTTTGGTGTAGTGGTTCAGAACGGACTACTATGGCGAGAGGTCCCGGTTTCGATTCCCGGGCGGGCAGAAATTGAAATGATGGATTTAAATTTTTGTGACGGGTCTGGGTGTTACTATGTATGTATAATATGTATGCATTTAAAAAAAGTATATAACTAGTATAGCCGTTAAGCTAGCAGCACCCATAACACAAGCATTAAGTTGCTTACTTTGAGGCTAACTGGCGCTGTGTGAAACTGTCCAAAGATTTTTTTATTTGCCTTTTCTTTTCAGGGTAATAATTGTGTTGATGTTATGTCTCGTCGCAACTCCTGTTTACTTAGAAACGTTTCCGATTAAAAATGAAGAGGAATTCCGAACGAAACGACAACTAAACTCTTTACCCTTAATTTATCCTTATGGAGCTACATACAAGGTAAATAATCTGTCTAATAAATNATGTAATTTTAGGTATTTAATTTAAAAGCTATTGTTTAGGAAACTAATTGAATTCATGCTTATTTCTTTGTAATGTAAGTGTCCCATAAGGGCTATCTTTTTATAGCTACCATGATTATGGCTGGATTGCATCACCTTAACTTTAACCGTAACTGTAACCGGTGTTTTTGTATGGAGTTTGACAGATTTTTGACGTTTGTTAAAGTTAAATTGCACCATTAGGAGGACCGACGATCTGGTGAAGGTCGCGGGAGGTGCCTGGATGCGGGCGGCGCAGGACCGGTCGTGTGGAAATCCTTGGGGGACGCCTTTGTCCAGCAGTGGACGTTATTTGGCTGAAACGAACGAATGAAAGTTAAATTAAGACTGTGCAACTCAGGCTTACGGTTCCATCCATCCATTTAGTAAGAAAGAAAGAAACATTTATTGCCATGGACATCACAAAAGACAAAAGAGGTAAAATAAAAAAAAAGCAAATAAGACAGAGGTGACATAAAACATACAATGAATGAGCAAGTAAACTAAGCAGTGCTACCCTGTCGCACAGCGATGCCCATCGCAATGGGACCCAGCGTTGCCAGTTTTTTTTTCGCCAAGTCGGGACTTTGGTACTTTTTGAGTGAAAATAGCGGGATTCTTCCGTCAAAAGCGGGACATAGTAAAGAAAACGTATATTATCAAAGGTTTTCAAATATTTATCTTTTTATTTGATTTAAAATTACGTTTACGTGACAGTAGATAGCAAAAGTAGCTATAGCAAATGTATTTTAACAAAAAAATAATATTTTAAATGAGATTTGCTCTATCGGTTAATTCGCCATTAGAATAAAAAAAGAAAAAAAATTAAAAAAGTTTTATTCTTTAGAATAATATGGCGTTTCAAACAATAGTCTGGTGAAGTGAGTGTCTCTCTCCGAAAAGCGGGACAGAGCCTGTCCCGCGCGGGACATTTAAATTTGATTTCAAAATCGGGACGTCCCGCCAACATCGGGACGTCTAGCAACGCTGATGGGACCCCACTCAGCATATGCCGTGGCCCCCGGTGAGGGAGGCCACGACGCTGGTTTTTAGTGTTACCATTTAGGCAGCATCGCTATCAGACTTTGAACCTCTAATACTGTATAGTTTATGTACAATGTTTAAATTCACATTTCCAGTTCATCATCGGCATCAGCTGTCCCATAGCGAACCGGGACAACATCCAAGTGGCCTTCGCTGCCAACTTCCAGTACCAGTACACACATTTCACGAACATCTCGCAGCTGTCCCAGTATTACCCCATCAAGACGGTGTCCCGGGAACAGAGGGACGCAGATATGCTCCATAGGAGGGACGAGCGGATCGTCTTCTATAGGTCATTGACTGAGATGCTGAATTCGTAAGTTTTGATCTAAATTATTATGTTAGCTGCTTTTTCATAGGTAAACTAGATCACCCCATATTTTTCAGACAATCATCAAGTTCCTTTGCAGTCATATGCCCATAGCCAGGCTTCACCCACTTGACTTTTCTTCTAAAAGTCTATAATACAATATTATATCTATACTAATATTATAAAGCTGTAAAGTTTGTTTGTTTGTTTGGTTGAACGCGCTAATCTCAGGAACTACAGGACCGATTTGGAAAAATATTTTTATGTTGGATAGCCCGTTAGTTCCTGAAGGCTTTAGGCTATATATCATCACGCTAAGACCAATAGGAGCGGAGCACCAACGAAGAATGTTTCAAATCAGTGATTTTTTTTCCTTTTGAGAGCTGACGCTGCGTAAACGGTTAAAGCCTTTTTATATAGCAGTATTATAGTTAGTGTGGCTAAAAAGGTGATAGTGACAGTTAGTGTACTATAAAAATAATCAAGAATATAACATAAACAAAATTCGAAAAATCGACTAGAATCTTTGTTGTCAAAGAATGGACATTGCAACTTCTATAGTGTTACTTTGATTACGAATTCAATCGTTGAAAATAATAGAAAAACTATTTCTATCAAAGACGTGTTCCAATAGTAACACTTTATAGCGCTTCAGGCGAAGCTTTGAGAGCTTTGGGTGAAGCTGTTGATACGATTGTTTGGTTGACTAGCTGCACAAAGTTTGCTGCGAAAGCCTTCCAAAGTACCTGTAGAATGCGGATCTTATGCTGCGAACTCTATGCAAATAATAATAAAACTCAGTTTGGCATATTAGAGGTCGGTTTTAATTGTGCGTTTAGTTTTGCATTCGTTAAGTTAGTGCATTGTTCGATCAAAGCAAATCCTTAAGATATTCCTCAAGATAACTAACAAAAGGTCACAACGCATGTACCTATCTAGACAAATATTTAAGTGTTTCCTTTAATTTCCTACACGCTTAAACTTGGCAAAGTCAATTCGGTTGATATTTCCCGAGGAAAATATTTTAATACTATGAGTTCTACACGTGCTTTTAAATTAGATAGGTAATACAATAATTTAGGTATCTTAGGTGACTTGCGAATCAGTCAACGGAACTCCAGGGTGCAGTGATTTTAGACTTTTAACCCTTTACTTTTAGGTCTATTCCAAAGTCACGAGTAAACTAAACATCTGAGCAAAATGAATGAAAACCTTCTCTATGTTTGCAAACAAAGAGGTTTTACGCATGTTGAACGAGTGCAGGATTGAATAAACCGCACAATAAACTGAAAGCTATATTTTTATTTGCAGCAAAGGCATGAATGGATACGATTGCGTGCTGCGCGCGATATGCGAGGCGGCGCAATATCCGGTCGAAGAGGAGGGGCTGGTGGGGGAGATATTGCACATCATTTTAACGTAAGTTGCATTGCAGATTGCAGGCTACATACTAAATAAGAACATGCATGGAAAAAAATATCATCATCATCATCATTTCAGCCACAGGACGTCCACTGCTGAACATAGGCCTCCCCCAATGACTTCCACATCGCACGGTTGGTAGCGGCCTGCATCCAGCGCCTTCCTGTTACCTTTATCAGGTCGTCGGTCCACCTTGTGGGTGGACGTCCCACGCTGCGTTTTCCGGTGCGCGGCCTCCACTCCAGAACCTTGCTGCCCCATCGGCCGTCAGTTCTGCGTACTATGTGCCCTGCCCATTGTCACTTCAGCTTGTCGGGCTATGTCAGCGACTTCAGTTCGTTTACGGATCTCCTCATTTCTGATTGGATCTCGTAAACCGGGTAACATGGAAAGCATTGGAGGAGGCCTATGTGCAGCAGTGGACGTCCTATGGCTGAGATGATGATGATATTAGAAAAATACTATCATAAAGGGCGTAGCACACTTACGAGTATCAACCTGGAAAGGGATCGTAACCGTATCAACTCGAGGCGGTCAGTGTTCTTTAAATGAAACTCCATATTGCAACGCACACTTATCCGCACCGCAACGTAAAAGCCACACCTCGCGGTTGACAGAGCGTGAAAGGCGATGACAGCTCGTGACAGGCAATATGGGTCCGTGGCCGAGTCCCCCAGTTTTCGACGCACCCGTGGTCGACGCCCCCGGTAGTCCAGTAGAATTAGCTTTTAAATCGGAAATAATTCCTACAAANATGGTGTTGATCCCTTTCTGAGTTGATAAGTCTACTATGACTTCATGCCTTCTCCTTTTTTAAGTCGGTTAAAAAGAAGGGTATAGCCCCGTGGTTTAGCACTGAAATTATGATGATGATATGAAACACGTCTTTGGGTTTAGTCTACCTGAGAGACATGGTGTTATAAGTACCTGTTCAGACAGTCCTTAAGACTGATAGCAGGTACTTATAGCAATTTAAGAAGTAATCAGTAGGGCTTAACCATAGTACGTATAAAAGCGCTCACTAAAAGCTTTTTTGCAAAAAATAGATGCCTTTTATTATTTCTAACATTACGTAGAGTTAATAAGAGGCTGCTTTCAGAGTGAATGATGATGATTGATTTTCCATAACCTTTGCCACATTTCTCACGTTTCAGTCCAGATTACGGTCGTACGCCCTTCGATGACGTGGACCCGCACTGGGAGGAGGCCATATCTGAGTACAAGGACGCCGCCATTGCTGGGAGGCAGATGTTCGACTGTGCCTCCATCTACGAGGGATGTCCAGAGGGCCAGGGAGTGATGGAACTCATATCGGTTCTTAGAGATGCGTGAATAAATTGTCATGATGTCAATTCACGGGTTGAAGTTACAGAAGGATTTTTTAAGCCATTATTTAAGCTGAAAAATGTTTGGTGTTATTGACAACTGTTAGTTCCTGCTTAAGAGTTACTATATTATAAAAAAACTAGTAATAGAAATTGATGTATTAGCAATTTTATTATTATTATTTTATTCAAAACTAGCGGCCGCCCGCGACTTCGTACGCCTGGATCCCGTTTTACCCCCTTAGGGGTGGAGTTTCGTTAAATCCTTTCTTAGCAGATGCCTACGTCATAAAATCTACCTGCATGCCAAATTTCAGCCCGATCCGTCCAGTGGTTTGAGCTGTGCGTTGATAGATCACTATGTCAGTCAGTCAGTCAGTCAGTCAGTGACCTTTGAGTTATGCGAAATAACTAAGTGGAAGGTCTAGGTAGCTATGTTCCATGTTAAAGGAACACAAAAAGGCCAACACACACATACAACCAGTAAGTGTATTAGTTTGTTACATAAACACAATAAAAATACCGAAATGATTGCTCAATAAATTCGTTCTGAATCCAAATCTGTGCTGATTGCCCATCGAGCCCGCGGGCCCACATTGGTCCCGGTGGCAATAGAAACCGATGAATGGCCCGATCGGGCACAAAGGTGATATTTTGATCACGCACCAGTGGACCGATTTGACACAATGTCCGAAATTCGCGTTTCGAATTTTTGGCTGTTTTTATTTGGAGGACTGAGTGGCAATGGCTCTTGGGGTGATATTTCAAGTTAGGGGTAATTCAGCTCTTCTGGTTTTAGAAAATTTAAATAAGTTTACGATGGTGCATTGTGAAAGCGAGAAAAAGTTCGCTTTTCCGTACAATTTGCAAGCAACTTTTTGAATGCAATGGTTTTTTTTGTAGGCATCTAATCCCAAGTAAATGTTGTTCAAATCATGAGTGACTCTACTAAACTTTGGCAACTATTTTAAAAATCATTCTGTATAGCACAGAAAAAAATTTCTAAGTCACTTCATTCTTTTTAAACTTGCTAAGAGCATGTCTAATCATAATATACTTAGTTTAAATTTTAAAGTAGGGGATAGAATGGCTACATTTTAAAGTACAGTTGCACGCAAAAATATGTTGTTTTTATTATTACAAGCTTTATATTGACTTCACTTGTTAGTATGTGTGGGACAAATCTTGCAACTGAATTTAAGACCACTTCTCCTCAACCGATTGAGCTGAAATTTGGAATACTTATGTAAGTACGATGACAATGCAATGTTATGGTACCATCGAGCTGGTCTGATAATGGAGTCGGGAGGTGGTCATATGAACTCCTAAACGAAACGGCGGAATCGCATCGAATTTGGGTTCGTTGGATTTGTCTTTTTAAGTATTATGGTGCTAAATGATGACCAGGGCCCAGATTGAGATACAATACAACTAAAAAGTATAAAATAAAATTATAATAAAAAAAACTTTTTTAAAAACAAGCTTTATTCTAAAATGCAGTTGTACTAAAACGAAAAAAATAATTGGAAGCAATGTTCAAAATAATTTCGAAAGCTTGTAGCGCAAACAGAAAAATAAACAATAAATTCCATGCGCGATACAAGCTTTCGAAATTATTTTGAACATTGCTTCCAATTATTTTTTTCGTTTTAGTACAACTGCATTTTATAATAAAGCTTGTTTTTAAAAAAGTTTTTTTTATAATAATTTTTATCAAATTAAACTCCAGGAGTTGTAGTTGAGAATGACTGATCTTAACTTAGAAACCTTGTCTTAGAAAGGGTATAATTTTTTTCTAAGGGAAAGTTATTTGCTATCATACTTGCAAAATTCTATCTACTTACTTGTAGCATTTTCGAATTTGAAAAATCTTTGGCTGAGTGGCACTATCTTATTTTAACCGTAACAATAACAATAACCGGTGCTTTTTGTATGGAGTTAGACATATTTTTGACGTTTGTCAAAGTTAAAATAAAATGGTGCAGCTCAGCCTTATAGATTAACTAATAAATTGCCGGAAATAAATCATTTTGATTGATTTAGAGTTATATCACAGCACAGTAGAGAGAGTTAATTGAGATTCGCACAAAAATATGAATGTTACATACATTCAAATAACACCTAAATGGAACTTCCAAAAATATTTCCAGTAGAGTTGTATAAAATACACTTCGAAGAAAGAAAAAGTAGAGGAAAAATATATTTCCCCACCTGACTGTACGTACCTCTCTACAAATTCTCCCGCGTCCCAAAGTCGGATCAACTTAATGAACGACTTAACTACTTTACCCTATATGCATTCTAAGCATAACTCCGGCGTCGAGAACCAGTAGTGGTTGCATTCTAAGTCAATGTAAATATTTTGCGGGCGGATTCACACGATGGGATACGATTATAACAAAAATAACGGGCCATAGCTTCCTAATAATAATGTTAGCAGCATTGTAGTTTTCCTAGTCGGAGGTAAGATAGTTCTTCTGTGATTGAGGGTTCCGGGTGAAGCTCTCTTCCATCTTCGGTCTGATCATTAATTCCCATCATCATCATTATCTTATAGTAAGCGTACCGGAAAATGCAGCGTGGATGTCCACCCACAAGGTGGACCAACAATATCGTAAACGCTGAACGCATGCCGCTACCAACCGAGCAACTTGGAAAGCATTGGGGGAGGCCTATGTTCAGCAGTGGACGTCCTATGGCTGAAATGATAATGATGATGGTTATCTTACAGTTGCTTACGACAAGACCCTNTAAGGACTCGATACAAGACCCTTTTCAGAAATAAAAGACAAATCATGAGTGATTCTTAATGATGACCAATTGACCATAGCCACTCTAGCAAGAGTGTACCAACTAGGAAGAATAAGTGACGAATAATGAGTCATCATATCGCGTGTTATAAAAGATCGTTATGGGAATGATCGGGTTGGTTGCAGAAGAAGATACGACCTTCTGGTGACTCCTCTTGGATTGGTACTGGTAGAGATAAATTATTAAAATACCTACACATATTCTGAAAAATGATTTAGTAATCAAAAGTGTCATTCAAACTGAGCAGCTGAAAGCCACTTAATAGTGAAAGAAAGAAATAAAGAAAAAATGTTCATTTAATAGTGGTGGTCGTATCGGGAGTTGTAAATGAAAATTATGCTAATCATTGGTATAAATGCTCACACCTATACCTAAATCAATTATATGAATGTGTGCTTGTAACGCTCAAGAATTAAGAAGTTTTTCTTGGAGGTAGTAGTTATGTAGTAAAGTAAATAGCGTGTCACGCGAAAATCTCCGAATTAGCTGCTTCTTCAAAAGTGGAATGAACTAAGTTGTATCGGCGACTAAGGATGAAAAAAATAGGCAAACATCAGGGCTGTAGGTCTGTCTGTACCTATCTGGCCGGGGTGAGGAGTAAAGGCCAAATATTTTTTATTTATTTATACTTTTGCACATAAAACTGTACAGTGGCGGACTTAATGCCAGGTGGCATTCTCTTAAAACATTAAAAATATTCCATTTGCCACTCCAATTTACTAGTGACAATTGAAGGAGTCGAGCCACTACAATGCAGGATGGTGGTACAAATGGAAATTGTCTCCCGCCACACAGATAGATCTTGGCTTCCAGTGCTTGCCATTTGATGACCTGGCAGAATGCGGGCTCGTAGCCACTTAATCAGTCAATAGGTCGTGTCGTGCGTTGTAAACGGCCACTGGGGGAAAGATCGTCCGCACGTGACCAGCACCTATATGAGATTTACTTAATTTGCCGGCGACGTGACGCCGTCTAAGCAAACAGCGGCCATTGTGGGACACTTTAGTTTCGCCTCTTAACGTCCTTGGGACGGTATTTATTTTTGCTCATTTACTCCGCACATATAAGTCACGGGCGCTTTTGTTTCCGATATGTTGGGACATAAGATATTGGGGTGTAGCGTGAGTAAACAAATTGAGGGAAATATTACTGAAATGAAAGTTTTGTATTGCCAGATCGATCTGGATCAGGTAAAATAGTCCTCGTGAATAGAACGTTTAAAATAAAAAAGAAATTCATGACCAATCTTGTGTTATTAACTCTATTTTTTACATAAATACTTATAGTTATTATATTCACAATTTGTATTGATAGGAACACATTCTCAAAAGCACTAGCAGTCTTGTTCAATTTAATAATTATGCAACTTCGTTGTGAAATATGAAGACAAAAACTATTGCTTGCTGAAACAGACACTAATACGAACCTAGAGATGCCTATGATCCTTATTAAGTCTACAATAACGTATTCACAAACATTACTATGAGGTCTCACAGTGCGCATGGACGCACAGGGTGACACGCTAATCACAGAGCTCTATTCAACGCTGTGCGTTCGATTTGCTGCTTTATAAGCAAGCATCGTTTGTGAATATTGGCGTAAGTGTCAGTAGACCAAGGTTTCCGCAACATGCCACACGTTAAATTATTTTAATCATAATAATTTAATCTGATACTTATTTACTTGAAAGCTATAAATCCGTGTATTGAGATATGTCCAAGAACGAGAATGGACATTTGGTATAAGTTACTAAGCAGTCTTCTTTGGTGGTGTTGTTGTGCCACTTATCGGTGTCCGACGATTGTTTCCTGCAAAATAAAGTATAATTTAAAACACTAGTAATAATATGTACATTTCATGAACCATGAAACATGAAACTGGACTGGGGTCCATTCTACTCTTTCACACCGAAAGTTACAGAACGGATTTTTATGAAATTTTACAGTATTATCGTTATTATACACAGCAGTTTAACATGAATGCCTATACTGCACAGACGACAGGATGTCTTTAGCTAAACACTTTAGCCAGGCATTTTGCAACAAAACTAAAAACCCATGCGGATAAATATCTCGGGCAAAAACTAGTTTACCATAAAAAGTTGTGTACACCATTCCAGCAAACAAAAAGCGATCGTATTTAAATATTTCACGAGAACATCTAAACCAGAGCCGCACATAGTTACCTGAACACCATTTTTAAAATTTTGTGGTATATGCCCCGCGGGGCGCGCGCTTCCATCTCGCAAATGGCCCGCCGCACGCATTGGTGTCCATTCAACCCCTGCCTGCAAGCAATCAAGCATTTTTGCGTGAGTTTTCTAGTTTTAGTAATGTATTGATGGACTAAAACGTGGGTGTATGCTTCAGACACTTATGCCTGTAAATCGAGTGAAGGATTTGAGAGGTGTCGCTCTAGAAACAGATTACTAGACTAATAATACTCGATAGAGCTGTTTTTTTAATTTTCCATCTCGCAAATGGCCCGCCGCACGCATTGGTGTCCATTCAACCCCTGCCTGCATTTTTGCGTGACTTTTCTAGTTTTGTTAATGTATTGATGTAGTGGAATAGTAGCTGGGATAAGGAATTGTTTTTAAGGCTTTAAAAGTTTATGATTGGCTACAGATTGAGCGAGAGGTTTTGGACTTGTACCCAAAATACTCGATTCAAATACAGCATGCTCTAACATTCCGTCGTCAAACTATCATATTGGTATGCAGAAGTAGCTGAAGACGCCAAGTAAGTATTAATCAGCAAAAGAATTCGTGTAAATCAACATAACGTAGATAAAAATATTTATTTTCTCTTGATACCTATGACCTGTTTAATATTTATGGCAACATCACTGTGGTTCTTTACAAGTGAAAACTTAAACGATTACTGCGAAAGGCTCTTTGTTTAGGTAAGTATGCTGCATCTTTAATTTTATGTTATTTTAATGTTTTCTTTCAGTGCCTCTTAGGAATATTATGAGAATTAAAAACTCGTGGAAACCAGTTTTGCTTATTATAAATTTAAATAAATACCTGTCAAGTAAGTGCTCCAAGTGGTTATAAACGCTTCGTCTGGAGAAGTGTTTGTAAGGATGAAAGGTATCAGGAGGCGCGTCCCAGTTCATACGGAACCCGAGCGCTTGGGCGAATATCTGGGTCCATGGCACCATGTTAGCTTTGAAGTTGAGACGGAGCTGCGGATAAAGGTGTCAAATAATTAAAAACTTTTAATCAATTTTCAAGAAAAAAGAAGATAACATTTGAGAATTTCTACCTTTTTTTAAAGCAGCTATCTATAAGACAGTGTTGCTAACAACCATTGTAATAAAGGGAAAGTTTTAAATATAAGCCTTTTTGTCTCTACATAAGCTTGTACCTTATATCATAAGTAGAGCCGACAAAAAGTCTTATGCCCGTTTTCACCATCAATCCCTAATTTTTAAGTGACCCTATGAAAACGAAATTCCTGTTTTATGTGTTACCAAAGGGGTCACTTAAAAATTAGGAATTGATGGTGAAAACGGGCATTATAATATCTAAGATTTTCATCTCATTAGGAAGACTCCAATCCAGACGAGAAAGTACTTTTTAGTAAGAGTTTCTTATACTCTTTTTCATCTTCCTATTACGACGCATTCATATGACTATACTATACATCAATATTAACAAATTAAAGATCTATCTACTTACAAAAAACTTCGTTTTATTCTTGAAGCTCAAGTATCTCCTCTGTCTAACATGGTTATTCGTTTTCTCTTCGTTGGCATCCCCCGATTCAATTAAAATGAAAACAATCAAACAAATGTAGCACAGCAACACTAATTGGAATATTTTGTTCATATCTATATCAACTGCGTAGGTTGTTGTTGTGCTCTGATTTTTTTCCCATGGCAATGGATCTGAAATAATTAAATACCTAGTTAAAAATAGGCTAGTATCCTAAACATTGTAATAGAACTACCATTTTAATACAAGAACTGCACAGTAACCAAATCAATCCAAAATGTCTGATGGATTCTCTTGCTAGATGCATCAAGATACATACATTATTAGCTATGTTGATAACTAAATCTTACTAATATTATAATAGATATCTGGATGTTAACATGTTTGTTACTCTTTCATGCAAAAACTTATAAACGGATTTTGATGAAACTACAGTATTATTGTTTATAATCCAGAATAACATATAGGCTATAATTTATGACAAATTTCACGCGGGTGAAGCCGCGGATAAAAGCTAGATAAAACTTGATGCCACAGCTTTAGGACAACAATCCAATAAGACAACAAAATTGGCAAAATCACTAAGGCTGGGTTGCACTATCTTACTTTAATTTTGACAAACGTCAAAAATCTGTCAAACTCCATACAAAAACACTGGTTATTGTTGTACCTAGTTACGGTCAAAGTTAGGTGGTTCGACTCAGCCAAAGATTCACGGAAGAAACAATGTCAATCAATAGGTACGTACCTACCAGGAGTAATGTAATTTCGGTGAAAAATTACTGTGTCAACAAAATATGGATGGATAGAGTAAAAACCTAAATATCAGTTCACAGTTAAGTCTTTTAAATCCAAAAAACGGCACTAATTTTACAAATACCTGACACGTTTCCGACCGTAATGAATTTCGGATACTGGTCAGAAAACGATATGAACCAAAACTGATATTTCAGAAAATGTAGGCCCTGTTTGGATTTGCAATTTGTATGTCAACCACGATGACCTGATCCAGTTTCAATTTTTGAACTCCTTAGGTGTGTGTGGCAGATTTTATACAGGGTGTTCTGAAGACCGTACGTGTAAACCCAACAATAATTGTCAGGTAAGTGCGTTTTTATGAGAATAAAGAGTCTTTATACCGATATTGAGTAGCTTCAAAAAAGTGTTTTTAGTGCAAAATATGAATTATAAATATTTTTTATCTAAGTCTTAAAAAGCCTCTCTTTGCTATCAATGTGTGCCTTGACTGTGCTGTGCGTACTTAGACGCTGGATAGTTCCTGCACCTTTAACCTTTTTGCACTCAAATGAGCATATCATTATAACATAGTAATATTATTATCACTTCTCATGATTGTCATAGTCATTGCCGTTAAAAAAACTATCTGTACAAAACTGCTTTGAACGTGGTGCGATGTTTATTAAGAGAGGCGATTTTCATATTCTACAAGAATTTAAAAATGAATATTTTGCCAGTCTATTTTTTTGTAATACGACCCATAAAGCTTTGAAATTTGAAGCAAAAAATAATACAGTCTGGAAAAGTTGGAGCGCAAAATATTCTAACAAACAGTTACTTCGCTCGTTAGAAAATTGGTAAGCTAACATCCATCCTGTACACTATACTTAACGGCATTAACTATGTTTGTAGATCGTGATTAACGGTGCTTCTGATTCTCCAAGATAATCTGTGGTCATTCCCCAAAATTCTTGCTAGGAAATGTATCTATTCTCATAAATTGAACTGAAATGCTTGGAATAGACTCCCGAAATGGAAATTCTAGTTAAATTGGCCTTGATTGCAATCGCGCTGGTTCAAGTCGAAAGTGAATTGAACGCGACCAGTGATGTTGATAAGAAAAGTGTAGTTTTGTCTCGAAGGAAAAGGTTTTTAGTGTTCCCTGAGGGAAGTTCTGTTCAGTTGGGTAAGTTATAACTAAGTTATTGTCAATCATTAACCTTTGGCTTCTGTTATGAGAATTGTTGTTGCCTTTAATACTTAGCTTCCAAAGGCGTATGATATGTCTGGATCATACTGTTAGCATTTAGAACTAGATATATAGCATCTTTTTTTACCATTAATATTGACTATCTTAGCTAGCGCAGTCCACTGCTAGACGTCAGTCCGAGCGAGCGCTATAAAAGCACGCCCTTGTCCTTTTGTCAACCAGCTGTTACGAACTATTCGTTATACTTGAGATCGTCGGTCTACGTAATATCCTAATTAATAATCACATCATTTTCCTACATAGTTTTTCTACTTGGAACTTTAGAATTGTGATCAATCAATACCAAACAACAAGCATCTAATTTCACAATATTTAGGTAAATGTCCCTCGAAAGAACGGAACACCCTGTATTTATTAAAACAAACGGTTCGTAAAAGACAAAAGAGGTTCGTGATGAAACAATACGGTAATCGACGATTTATGGAAGTGTGAATAATATTGAAGTATTTGGGAGAGCACGTGAGACATAATGCAAGTAGATAGAGTAAGGGCACCACTCCGTTCCTTTGCAAGTCAATAAAAAAATTACATAATCCTGTGGATCTTGGCTACACAAAAGTTCAGTTATCGGAACGAGAGGTGGAAATACTCGTAGTCCCGATTGCATAGTTGTAAAAATAATTAGAACTCTGTTCAGTTTTTTATGTTTTAGTGCTAACTAAGACTAAGTACTAATGCGTAAATAGTCGAAAATCCTCCATTTCCCTGCTAAGTTAGACAGGGTAGTCCTCCTGCAGAGGAGAATAAATGATGAGGATATAAGTTTTAAGTGATCTTCCTGATGCTGTTGATGAATATTGCGCGTGCGTGACCTCATGTGAGGAGTGTCATTAAGTATAACTTTGATTTTTTTCTCTTGTTCTAAAGTACGCACGTCGAATCGGCTCGTCAAAATAAACACTGTGAAATCTCATGCAGTTGTAATACGGGCGATATTGCAATAAAAATTTAGAGTCAGAAGTGCTTTTGTCTTACAAGTATACTTCATTTGTACAGTTGCCATGACGTTCGATGCATTGACGTTACAATATCGATCCATTTCCTATAGATCATAATAGTGCTAATGAAACTTCATGCGTTGGTCACATTTTTGTTTGTTTTCGGATAGTTTGGGGTTTTTCAACCCCTTATACTGTATCTAAGTGGTTCTTTTAGAGATGATGACGATGATGATGATAAAAAAAATAAAAGAAAAGAATACAGAGCGTTCGATAAATTATTGAATTATTTTCTCATTAGAAGTAATAATGTCGCCCTATAGACTCTACCAGAAAATATCAGTTTGACCTCTGTCATTGCCTTTGCATTCATTCCATGAAAACAAAGTCAACTGCTTAACATAATAAAAAATATTTAAATTATGTTTTTATCAAAAATTCATACTTGTTTTTCACACCACAGTTAACAGGCGATTGTAAAATCAGCTTTAGCTAAACAATATTGTTTCAGTATTCTGCAACACTTTCCCCAACATATCCCCACAAGGGGACATCGTGCTATGGGGCTACACCGCTGCTTTGGCCTACGAGTTGCCCCAAGACCCGTATTCTCCCTTCAACCATAAGGCAGACCCATTACATAGAAGAGCTGATAGCAAGGCCATATACTATACTGATGAGGATGGAAAAGTCATTTATAAGAGGCCTTATCAAAGGTATAAATAAATAAATTATAATTTATTAAAAATTGTTATATGAAAATCTATTCTNGTTTCGTGATGAAACAATACGGTAATCGACGATTTATGGAAGTGTGAATAATATTGAAGTGTTTGGGAGAGCACGTGAGACATAATGCAAGTGGATAGAGTAAGGGCACCACTCCGTTCCTTTGCAAGTCAATAAAAAAATTACATAATCCTGTGGATCTTGGCTACACAAGAGTTGTAGCGATGGAGATGAGAGGTGATAAATATTGTAAAAACTATTAGTAACTTGGCAGTTTTAACCGCCTCTGTGGTCTAGTGGTAAGACCACCTGCTTCAGACGCAGAGGTCCCGGGTTCGATTCCCAATGGGGGCAGAATTTTCTGTTCGGTTTGGTTGGTGGTAGGGCTTGTTCTAAGTCCGCCTGGCTAGCTACCACCATCTTACCTAAGTCTGTCGCCATAACAACAATCTTAACAGCATTGTTGTGTTCTGGCAGTTAGAGGTAAGATAGCCAGTTCCTCCGTGGTTGAGGATTCCGGGTGAAGCTCGCTTCCACCTTCGGCCTGGTAATCACTTACCATCAGGTGAGATACAGGCCAAGAGCTTCCTCGTTGTGGATAAAAAAAAAGGTTTTGATATTTTATTGCCTTGACAACTTAAAAAGACTAAAGAGTAAATAATATTTCGCAATCGCCCCTAGTAACTTAGAGAGTAGTCTTCCTGCTGTGGAGACTGATGAATGATGAGGAAATCAGTGATAAGTCAATTAAGTGACCTACATGACCTTATCTGAGGAGTGTCAAGCTAAACATTTTGGTCTCTTATGCAAATAAGGCCTAGAAAACACGGTGAAACGCAACTGCAAAAACTGGTACGAAACGAAACTGGTTTCAAACTGGTCACGTCATGTGTTCTCTCAACGGAATCTATGGCAGAAACTTAGATGCAACTCAAAAGTAACTAGAAGTTGCAGTTTCGTTGCAATGCGTTTCACCGTGTGTTCTGGGCCTAACAGTAGTGTAAGAGCAATCTTGCTACCAAAATGTAGAGTCAAATGTGTGACTGTTGTATGTTCAAGTGAATTGTAAGTGTGACCCTGCTGTATTTGTTTCTACAGTTGCCATGACGTTTGATGCATTGACGTTACAATATCGATCCATTTCTTATAGATCATAATAGTGCTAATTAAACTTCATACGTTGGTCACATTTTTGTTTGTTTTCGGATGGTTTGGGTTTTTTCAACCCCTTATGCTGTATCTAAGTGGTTCTTTTAGAGATGATGACGATGATGATGTTAAAAAAAATAAAAGAAAATAATACAGAGCGTTCGATAAATTATTGAATTATTTTCTCATTAGAAGTAATAATATCGCCCTATAGATACCAGAAAAAAATCAGTTTGACCTCTGTCAGTGCATTTGCATTCATTCCATGAAAACAAAGTCAACTGCATAACATAATAAAAAAATATTTACATTATGTTTTTATCAAAAATTCATACTTGTTTTTCACACCACAGTTAACAGGCGATTGTAAAATCAGCTTTAACTAAACAATATTGTTTCAGTATTCTGCAACACTTTCCCGAACATATCGCCACAAGGGGACATTGTGTTATGGGGCTACACCGCTGCTTTGGCCTACGAGTTGCCTCAAGACCCGTATTCTCCCTTCAACCATAAGGCAGACCCATTACATAGAAGAGCTGATAGCAAGGCCATATACTATACTGATGAGGATGGAAAAGTCATTTATAAGAGGCCTTATCAAAGGTAGAAATAAATAAATTATAATTTATTAAAAGTTGTTATATGAAACTCTATTCTTTATTTTTATTTTTCTCTTTAGAAGATGAGAAACTTAAAAATGTCAATTATTTTTTGACCTCAACAAGATAAATAAAGTTCAAAATAATGTAACTACTATAGTACCGTTGACTGGTTGAGGGTTAACATTTCTTTTTTCTACAAATGAGTTAGTAGCTGGCATGCATTCTCAGAGAAACAAAAATAAAACAGCTAAAAAGAAGAAACAAACATTTTCTCATTACAAACTTCATTTTCGATAATAAACCAGCCAGTTAAAGCATAAAAAATAAAAATCCACGAAATCGAGTTATCGAACCTCATTGCATCAACATTAACACTGGCTGTTTACAAACTTGCAGAAAGTTTATCGTAAATCCAGCGTTCGCAAAGCGGAGCGTTGACGGTGTGCTTCCATCGCCCCAATTCAAAAAAGGAACGCGAGAGAAATTCAAAATAGACAGGAAGCAGATGCACGCTTCGAAAAACAAACGGCAGTTTTTGAAAAGCGAATGCATGGAGGCCGGTAACGTCGAATTTCACAGAAGTAACCGTGGGACTCTTTATCAGAAAATTGAGGCGGCTCTCAGAGGGTACGTATCACAATTCACAATACTACAGCACATCAATGTAAACAATGTATCTTATGTAGTTGTAATTAGAGCGATTTTGCAACAAAAATGTAGGTATAGTCTGATGTGCTGTTACTAAAAGTATACAAAAGTGACCATGTAAATTTCTTATTGAAATTAATAACCTAATTTTCAAAGTAAACTATGCTTTAAATATTTAGTAAAAAAACAAGCATGCCACGACACTAAGGCTGGGTTGCACCATCTTACCTTAACTTTATCAAACGTCAAAAATCTGTCAAAAAACACTGGTTATGTAATCAGAATGTAACCAACTGATGACCTATTCTATCTTTAACGGTAAGTTTATTCAAATTGGTGGTGCAACTCAGCCTAAAAATATGATTTCGATTTAAAAAGTTAGGTTTAACTCAAACTGAAGCCAACTATGAAAATTGTGTTTACTTTTAGTCCGAATTGGAATCGATTCCAGTTTTTCAGTTTTTAGACGAATACCAATAAACTGGAATGTAATGTAACTGAACACTTATAAAGTTACAAATCTAAACCTTTAATCGAATTTTAAAATAACAAAATTTTCATCTCTTTCTTTATACTTTAACTTTAGCTGTTCCGAAGCGAGGAGATTAGTTTTTAAATTGGTACTAAATGAATTGTGTTAATCCTTAGACTGATTCACGGTGTGTCGCCACCTTAACAGGGACTTGTTGCTTCAATTTATTGTTTGTATTTTGTTTGTAAGTTGCAATTTAAAGGTAGAAGATAGAATAGTTCTTTACTCTGCTGCAGTAGAGCTGGGATGCGCGCCATGATTAACTTTTGTCGAGGCATTTTATCGATTTTACGCGATAAGTCCATACATTTGTCATCTAAAATGCTCGATAAGATTTTATTAAGGCGCACTGCCTGGATTATTTTTTAATTAACTTAAAAAGCAAAATGATTTTTATGATGGCTAAAGTCTCATGCTTCAGTTTTTATTTCTGTGATCTATGAAATTACTGAGGTCGCAAAAACTGTTTTGTTTTAAAACTAAGTAGTAATGTTGCTTTAAGCACTTTTCAGTACAAATTAGTTAAGTAACAAATCTGTAATGTATTTATAACCTAAGATAGTTAATTTGTAAATTGTTATTAAACTACAACGTTTATTTTCCTTCCAGTCATAAGTGCCACTTGTGGTCTAAACTGCATAAATATTTTTGATTTGATTTGATTTGATTTGATCCGTTCAGTCTTGGCGCAAACGGCAAGGAGTGTCTGCTGAGGACCATATGCTTGGTTGGACAAGCACAGCACCATCCGCAAGGAGAGTTCTTACAAGAGATTATGAGAGCTGTGTTCACGTGAGTTCTCGTTCTCTCGTTCACGTTTCAGCCAAAAGACGTCCACAGCTGGACAAATGCCTCCCCCAAGGATTTCCACAAAGACCGGTCCTGCGCCGCTCGCATCCAGGCACCTCCCGCGACCTCCACCAGATCGTCGGTCCACCTAGTGGGAGGCCTTCCCACGCTACGTCTTCCGGCTTACGTTCACGTATTTGTCAAAAAATATTGCACAGGAAAAAGCCGCACAAAGTGTGAACTTTTTATACCCCGTTCAGTTTTTCTGTCAAAATTGGGATGAGGATGTTGATTGTTTTTGTATTCCTATCGCTACACAAGTGATAGTTCGAGGTAGCCTTTGTCTTGTAATGATCCAGAAGTTCTTTGCCCCTTTTGCTCTAGGAATCAGATAATGTTTGCAAGACCGCACACTGGATAGTAATATTATTATTATCTACAACTTATACAATTCCCAGTCCTGTAAACGGAAGACTAACATCCGCATTAAAACGTCTTGATTCGAAGAGCCCTTTTTATTAGAAAAAAGTTACAACAAATTCAAAAGTCGCAAAAATTTGCCTGAGCAGTCACAATTTACATCTCAAGGAAGCAAAAATTGCTTTAGAACTATAATGAATGCAGCGGAGTATCCAAATTTATGTAAAAACTCTCAAGGAACCGAATAGCTTGGAACTAAAAACGTCAGCCTAAAAGGGTATCGGTTGCGAGCTTTGAGAATTCCTTTGGGATGTGCCAGGCAGTAACATGATTTGACTTCTTTGCTCTGACAGAAAAATGTCGGCAAATGTACTCTCTTTGGTACTCTGGTAATAGGAGGAAGTACAAGATGAACTTTGAGCTTTTTAACCTCTTATAAGGCAGTAGTCAAAAAGGTCCCATCACATTTTGACAATCGCAAAGGTTAATTAGAAGATAGCTATTTTTTTTTAAATAGACGATTCCACATTGAAAGCAGATATTGTCACTTAACAAGGACTATCAAAAGTTTCTGTCACAGAAATGACCGTGTTAACAGGATCTTAGGCTAACTAAAAAGCTGAAAGAAAACCAGTGAAGACCGTAGTCCCGGGAGAAAGTTAAACTGTCAGTCCAGTTGTATATCCATTCACAAGTACCTATATGTATCAAGCTTTTTCAGCTTAGGAATTAATGATGAGAACAAAATAGGAGGAGTTTTGTCCAATAACCTCTTCTAGATTTTTCTTACCATTACAATTATATTCCACAGAATACCAAGCAGCAAATCTGCGTCTGGTGATGACTACAAGGAGTATGATGAAGCCTTCAGCCAAACGAAGCCGTGTGCAGAAGTTTATCCTGACTGCGAAGAAACTGTTGAAGAGAATATACCATCACTGAGCTTTTAAGTGTGGTGTAGCTCGTAATATTTGTTAAACAGTAGTTACAGGCAACGACACATCAACCTACACATTTGGCATGCTTATGTACTTATTATATGGCGATTTTGCATTAATAATGTTGTTGTGTTGTCGTCTCTACCACAGAATAATAATAAGTTGTCTCTTCATAGAAAAACTCAGTCACACCATTTTCTTTTGTATTGTTATGATGTAACAATTTTGAGTAAGTTTTTTGGAGCTTCAAGCGTAGTACCTTCTTACGAGTACATCTTATGGCCACTTATATAATACACACATACGATTTTGTTATAACATTGTATAATTTGGTTTGCTCGAAACTGTACATAATCGAAATACCAAGATAATGTTGTATTATAGATAATCAGTTTATTTTTATAATTAGAAACGGCATTAAAACTTTTTCAGGCTGCGTAGTAGCACTATGTAAAGTAATTAAACTTTTACCATTATTTTTTACCTAATGGGTGTAAATATAACTTAAGAATGTGAAGTTATTTAAGAAAAAAACGGGTATTTTAAATGATCAGTTGTTATAGTAACTAAGAGTAGCAAAATATGTAAGAAGATTAATTAAGATTAATTGCTGGAATTTCAAAAATAAAATCGTAAGTTTTGTCTAATAAGTAATACATTTTGTCTACTAATTAAGTAATATTAAATCCTATTTCTAAGCAACCAATGTTATATAATATTTTAAACTATTATGTTGCATTTTTTTTTTTTTTTTTACTATAAAATTATCACTTCACGGGATTTATTGCAACAATATCTATTTTAACGGTAAATAATATTTACCCTCCCGACGTTTCGGCTCGGTTGCACGAGTCATGGTCGCGGGCAGACTGAAGAGATGNTTTCTTATTGAAATTAATAACCTAATTTTCAAAGTAAGCTATGCCTTAAATATTTAGTAAAAAAACAAGCAAGGCTGGGTTGCACCATCTTACCTTAACTTTATCAAACGTCAAAAATCTGTCAAACTTTATACAAAAAACACTGGTTATCTAACGATGACCTATCCTAACTTTAACGGTAAGTTTATTAAAATTGGTGGTGCAACTCAGCCTAAAAATGTGATTTCGATTTAAAAAGTTAGGTTTAACTCAAACTGAAGCCAACTATGAAAATTGTGTTTACTTTTAGTCCGAATTGGAATCGATTCCAGTTGTTAGACAAAAACCAATAACTGCAATGTACTTGAACACTGTTATAAAGTAACGTATAAACCTATAATCTAATTTTAAAAACAAAATGTTCATCTCTTTCTATACGCTTTAGCTTTGCTGTTCCAAGCGAGAAGATTAGTTTTTAAATTGGTACTAAATGGATTGTTAATCCTTAGCGACTGATTCATGGTGTGTCGCCACCTTAACAGGGACTTGTTGCTTCAATTTATTGTTTGTCTTTTGTTTGTAAGTTGCAATTTAAAAGTGTAAGGATAGAAGAGTTCCGATGATTTTTTCTTTACCTTTTCTTTACCAAAGCTAATATATGAAGCAAAAAAAAAAAGATTTTATTAATCAGTGATTATTTTAATTATTATTTTTTTTGGATCTTTTTCTCAATCACCGCGAAATTAATTCTCTAAAAACCCTCCTTCTGGTGCAGTCGGATAAGAAAGTACCTTCTCCAGTGGTATGGTCGTAGGAAATCTGTTTGTATTAATATTTATTAATGACGCTCCATTAACTGAAATATGGTTTGAAAACCTACATAGTTTGGATCTAAAAAAGGACAGTGCCAATCCATGTACTATGGAAGTTGGACCAAGTACTGCCCAGAATGAAACCATAGTGCATTTTGTTTTTTAGGCCAATACTAATTTGTAAACCGGAGCGCACCGACATCTATCCCTGGAGTTAAGAGAAAAAAAGAGTTTTGTTTTGAATTATTTGTACATACAAAATATCATCGATGTATACGTACTAAGAATAAGATGTCGCGATTTTGGCATTAAATAACCTCGCTATGTTGAACTTATCCATACTGCATCCGCCCACCTTACTTTAGTACGACTTCGACATTCTTTATAAGCAATCAAGCGCTGTTGCAGTAGTTTGGTTACTTGACAGAAATTAATTATTTCCAAAATGGAGCAAGAAGTTTTTAGCTTACAATAACTTCAATAATCGATTGTAATACACCAATAAATTGTTTTTTTGCAAGGATAGAAAAATAAAACTTCTTGCTTCATTTTGGAAATAATGAACTTCTATCAACTTACCAAACAATTAAAACAGCAATAGACGTTTATAAAGAATGTCTAAATCGCACTAAAGTAACGTGTATGGATGCAGTATGGTTAAGTTTAACATAGCGAGTGTTATTTATGCCACAATCGCGAAATCTTATGCGTAGTACGTATACATCGATGATATTTTCTATGTAAATAATTCAAAACATAACTCTTTTTTTCTCTTAACTCCAGGGATAGATTTCAGTGCGCTTCGGTTTACACATTAGTATAGGCCTGAGGAACAAAATGCACTATGGTTTGATTCTGGGCAACACTTGGTCCAGACCCTGGCACTATCCTGAACAATCTGAAACAACGGAAATCAAAATTAATCATAAATATGTTCACTGAAATACACGTCACTTTATGGATAGCATTTGACAATTTTCCTAAAACTTTTAATTGTTATTTTCCGTTCAGTCTTGGCGCAAACGGCAAGGAGTGTCTGCTGAGGACCATATGCTTGGTTGGACAAGCACAGCACCATCCGCAAGGAGAGTTCTTACAAGAGATTATGAGAGCAGTGTTCACGTGAGTTCTCGTTCTCTCGTTCACGTTTCAGCCAAAAGACGTCCACAGCTGGACAAATGCCTCCCCCAAGGATATCCACAAAGACCGGTCCTGCGCCGCTCGCATCCAGGCACCTCCCGCGACCTTCACCAGATCGTCGGTCCACCTAGTGGGAGGCCTTCCCACGCTACGTCTTCCGGCTTCGTACTTGTCAAAAAATTTTGCACAGGAAAAAGCCGCACAAAGTGTGAACTTTTTATACCCCGTTCTGTTTCTCCGTCAAATTTGGGATGAGGAGGTTGATTTCTTATGTATTCCTATCGCTACACAAGTGATAGTTCGAGGTAGCCTTTGTCTTGTAATGATCCAGAAGTTCTTTGCCCCTTTTGCTCTATGAATCAGTTAATATTTGCAAGACCGCACACTGGATAGTAATATTATTATTACAACTTATACAATTTCCCGTCCTGTGAACGGAAGACTAACATCCGCATTAAAACGTCTTGATCAAAAAGCCCTTTTTATTAGAAAAAAGTTACAAGAAATTCAAAGTCACAGTTCGCAAAAATTTGCCTGAGCAGTCACAATTTACATCTCAAGGAAGCAAAAATTGCTTTAGAACTATAAAATGAATGCAGCGGAGTATCCAATGCACATATACTTGCCTGTATATTTATGTAAAAACTCTCAAGGAACCGAATAGCTTGGAACTAAAAACGTCAGCCTAAAAGGGTATCGGTTGCGAGCTTTGAGAAGTCCCTCGAGATGTGCCAGGCAGTAACATGATTTGACTTCTTTGCTCTGACAGAAAAATGTCGGCAAATGTACTCTATTTGGTACTCTGGTAATAGGAGGAAGTACAAGATGAACTTTGAGCTTTTTAACCTCTTTTAAAGCAGTGGTCAAAAAGGTTTTATCATTTTTTGACAATCGCAAAGGTTAATTAGACGATCGCTATTTCGAATTTCTTTTGTTTTTTTGAGTAGACGATTCCACACTGAAAGCAGATAGTGTCACTTAACTAGGACTATCCAAAGTTTCTGTCACAGAAATTACCGTGTTAATAGGATCTTGAGCTTGATAGACAGTAAAAGAAAACCAGTGAAGGTCCGTAATCCAGGGATAAAGTTAAACTGTCAGTCCAGTTGTATATCCATTCACAAGTACCTATATGTATCAAGCTTTTTCAGCTTAGGAATTAATGATGAGAACAAAATAGGAGGAGTTTTGTCCAATAACCTCTTCTAGATTTTTCTTACGATTACGATTATATTTTTCCAAAGAATACCAAGCAGCGAATCTGCGTCTGGTGATGACTACAAGGAGTATGATGAAGCCTTCAGCCAAACAAAGCCGTGTGCAGAAGTTTATCCTGACTGCGAAGAAACTGTTGAAGAGAATATACCATCGCTGAGCTTTTAAGAAAAAAAAAATCAAAAATATTTATTCAGTTTAGACCACAAGTGGCACTTATGAACGTCAATAGAAAATAATAAAAAAAGAAAAGGTAGCCCTTATGGGGCACTTTACATGTCTCCTTATCTTTTGGGCCCTACCAGCGCTTCGAGACAAACATATGGCAAGTGCTGAGAAGAAACGCCGGAACAAACTCAGTCACCACTTATTGCCAGGAGTTATCTAACGGTAAGAATAGTCAAATTTAAGTACATCAAATATGTGCAGACTGAACTGACCACGCATCCTTGTCATCAATATAGTCTCGAACCTTGTAGTACCCTTTGGACATAAGGGTATTTTTTAATGTATCTTAAATTTGTTTGTTGGCAATTCGACAAGGTGGCATAAGTGTGGCATAAGCTCGTAATATTTGTTAAACAGTAGATACAGGCAACGGCACATCAACCTACACACTGTGGCATTCTTATGTAGTTATAATAATGGCGATTTTGCATTAATGATGTTGTTGTGTTGTCGTCTCTACTACAGAATAATAATAAGTTGTCTCTACATAGAAAAACTCAGTCACACCATTTTCTTTTGTATTGTTATGATGTAACAATTTTGAGTAAGTTTTTTGGAGCTTCAAGCGTAGTACCTACTTACAAGTACAGTCGCGGAATGAAAAGGTTCGTCACCTTAGTGTCGGTTTTTGCTTGCACTAGGTACTGTAAGAGTCAAACCTGCCAACATAATCGTGCAAGAAACAGTGCTGCTAACATTTAAATAAATATGACGTTTGCTAACGAATAAGGTTTTGCTTGATTATTTTTCTATCCCATCAGTGCAATGTTACAAAATGTAGTTTTTTTATTTAATAGATAATGGCAGGTTGAACCAACAAGAAGGTTTTAGTTTATCAATCATAATAATTTTCTTGACAAGTAAATCGTCAAACAACTTTGATCTGAATAATTTTGAACTTTACTGACGAACAGTTAAAGATTATTTTCTCTAACTCGAGATTATTCTGTAACATAGTTTCAAAAGGTAATATGTGCTCGCGATTCGTTGAAGGAATCAATTTGAAAACTGACGAACCTTTTCATTCCGCGACTGTACATCTTATGGCTTCTTATGTAATACATACGATTTTGTTATAACATTGTATAATTTGGTTTGCTCAAAACTGTACATAATCGAAATACCAAGATGATGTTGTATAATAGATAATCAGTTTATTTTTCTAATTAGAAACTGGATTAAAACTTTTTCAGGCTGCGTAGTAGCACAATGAAAAGTAATTAAACTTTTACCATTATTTTTTACCTAATGGGTGTAAATAGGTATAACTTAAGAATGTGAAGTCATTCAAAACAAACACGGGTATTAAATGATCAGTTGTTATAGTAACTAAGAGTAGCAAAATATGTAAGAAGATTAATTAAGATTAATTGCTGGAATTTCAAAAATAAAATCGTAAGTTTTGTCTAATAAGTAATACATTTTGTCTACTAATTAAGTAATATTAAATCCTATTTCTAAGCAACCAATGTTATGTATTAAAAACCTCTTAATAGTTAATTGTTTTATGTTATATTACCATAAATCAACAAATTGAGTGCTTGATGTAAAACAACAAATAATTGAAATAAATAAAGTGTTCAAATAAAATGCAACTTAAACAATTTTCTTCATGAATTAAGTCAATTAAATACTGCCTCTTTTATTTCTTCCACGCTCAACAGACTACCTAACATGTCTCATACGGCGCGCCAGTCTGTGACGCCGAAATTCTCTCATTTCCTTTTTAGTGCTGAGCGCATACAATTTAATATTTCAAACACGAAAATAGCTGTAAACCTGTTGACACCGAACTATGTTAATTGACGTTTCATTTTCAAACCAGCCTCCAATAAGTGCGGTCTCTACTCTAAATCGAATTCCCACACAAGTTTCAACCATCAGTGAAATGTGTCTACAGTTGATAAAATGAAAATTAACCGATTTACTTTGGTCGTCACGATAATTCTCCAAACGTTTGTAAGCGATACGATTTCTAAAGGAAATAGCACATCGGATTGTTTGGACCAAAGCAGTTCAAAAGTCTTGTCGAGAAGAAAAAGGTTCTTGATATTTCCAGATGGAAGCTCACTTCAATTAGGTTGGTAAATAATTCCATTTCACTTTGATACTGCGTTAGACAAAGGCCTCTTTTAGAATAATCGTAATTTTAGTCCCAGTTTACGGAATGCCAGAGGCGAAGCTCGACTTTCAGTTGGGTAAGAAATTATTATTTAGTTAACTGACCCTCAAATTGTGGCGAAAGTTGTAGTGTTTGTTGACTGCTGTAATTGTTGTGGGTTATTTTGAAACAATAGAGGAAAGCTTATTAATATCCATGCCTTTAGGTGCACAGACTAAGCATATACTCTTATATCCCACCACAACAAAGTTTTAGTTCAAATTCTGAGACGTGGTGAGCCCACACGTTGCAGTATTAATCAGTGTAAGATATCCGTCACTGCTCACAAAACAGTCTATGTTTAGCTAAAATTATAATAACTGAGTATTAAACTTGGTATTATTTTTGTTTTGTTTGATGTACAATAAAGAGTACTTTAAGTTCAAAGCGAGTAGTAGAAATAGGTTATAAGTTACCCTCTTGCCTAAACCTATGTCATGGTTACACAAAATACCTCTCTTTGATGGTGGTTTGCGAGTTATTTGAAGGTAATGTAGGTAAGATAGACATTTAGTAAGAAATCTTGTAGCAGAGAGCTGACACTGTGTAGTCGACACGATAAGAAGAAGAAGTAAGAGGTCTACCTTACTAGCATTTCATTGTGAATAATAAAATATGAAGTGACGATCACCCATCTCTTGCCAAACACAATTGATTTACCTATTATCCTTCATATTTTCCAGTATTTTGCGTCCAAACATCAGCTGTGATTCCCATCGGAGATATTTTCTTATTCGGGAACACGGCCGCCTTGGCATGGTCCTTACCAAGTGATCCTCAGTTCTTCCATATGCTGAAAGGCGATAAAGAAGCCATGAGAAGGGGAGACTTCAAGAACCACATATACTATGTGGATGAGAATGGGAAAATGGTAGCAAAGGTGCCTTATAAAAGGTGAGCTTTATAGTCATCATCATCGAAATTAGATCGCTAATTTAGTCTATACTGCAGGGTGACGAACTGACGACTCTCTCTAATTCAACAAAGATAGAAGGAAAATATCTACTTATTCCAAACCAGTCGCATTGGGGAAGGATTGGTAAATTATTATTCCCTATTTGTCTCTTACATAACAAAAGTCAAAAGTATGTCAAACTGCACACAAAAAATACCGGTTACGGTTATAGTTACGGTGGTGCAACTCAGCCTAAGGCTGAGTCTAAGCCTTAGACACTCTACAGAGCACCATCTGGTTCCAAATTAAGCAAAACTTTTACTTTGAACACAACATATTACTTATAATACCAATTAAAATTATCACCATGCACTCAAATGTTGTTTGTATTTTCTCACAGCTTCTGGCAACTCTAGTCCTAATAAAACTGATAATTTTAATCTTCATCTCATCATATGTAAATTTCAATTACAGGAGCCGTATCATCAACCCAGCGTTCGCCAAAAGAAGCATCGATGAAGGCTCTACCTTCAAGGACAAATTAAAGGCACGGATAGAGCGCCTGAAAATGCACGAGAGACAGAAAAGAAGGGATTACCTGAAAAAAGAACACATGGACTCTAACACAGTAGAGTTTCACAGGAGCAGTAGAGTGGAGCTTTTCGAGAAAATCGAGAGGTTATTTACAGCGTACGTACAAAACTCTACTGACAAAAAAGCATAGTAATTGAGAATATAATGCCCGTTTTCACCATCAATCCCTATTTTTTAAGTGATTACTATGATACTACTTGGCAGGAATTTTGTTTTTATAGGGGTCACTTAAAAATTAGGGATTGATGGTGAAAACGGGCTTAACTCTAATATTCTGTGTAGGATAGTCTTATGATTCAATTGACATTGCTTCTATAATTTTGTAATAGCAATAAGTAACTAATTACGTCTTACAAATGCAATATGCAATTCTGGTTTTTCAGTTCTTAAATGAATGAATAGTGTTTTTAAAAGATTTTCTTTGGTTTCATTGGTTTTTAATTGGACTTACAGAACAGTTACCTTTAAATAAAGTTACTGTTTCTTACATCAGTTAACAATAGTCATGATTATTTTGGCGCTGGTAACCTTTTCCAATGACATGGCATCAACAAAGGAAAATTAAATCATTATAATAAAATTCTAACACAATGTAGTCAGTGCCTATTTTTGTAAAAATACCCAAGGGCAGCGCAGGACCGTTCATTGTGGAAACCTTTGGGCTTTGGGGGAGGCCTTTGTCCAGCAGTGGACGTCATTTGGCTGAAAACGAACGAACGAACCCAAGTGTGTCCATTTTGTTACAAATCACACAAGACCCTCCCAAATTCAATTTAAAATTCACATTAAAATCGAACCGCTAAAGTTTGCAAAACCTCTCCACAACAGACTTCAAAGGGGACTTCATACAAATTGAATTTTATAATCTTCGCAGACTGGGACAAGACGGGAGGCAGTGCGTGCTTCACAAACTATGCGAGGCGGCGCGCTCCGCCCCACAGCAAGGCACATTCTTGCAAGAATTCCTACGGACTGTCTTTACGTGAGTGTTATAGTTGTTATTTTGAATCAGACTTTTTATAAAATGACTGGACGTTGAGCAATGGTCACAGAACTCGTCAGATAATGTATCTGAATCAATTTACGATATGACGAAATCTTTGATGATGATCTTTAGAACACGTCATTGAACTCGAAAACATCAAAAACTTTAGGAAGACTAGTATGGCGGAAGATCGCATGAAATACTATCATAGATACTATCTCGCAACATAGTATAGTTCGATGTGCTGGAGGATCTATATTGTTGCATGGATGCCACGACTTTAATAGTCATATCAGGTAGCCAGTGATTGGCGTCATTCTAGGTACTTGTAAAAGCCCAACACGCCTATTACTAAACTATGTACTCTCTCAGAATGTCCTTGGATAGTAAATAGGAGGTATGATTTATCATTTACTACTAGGTTTAGTTAATTCGAGCAAAATTACTAACTTTGTTCAACAGTGCCTGTTCCTTTCAGCTTCGTGTAGCAACAACTTCATTACGCGACTTCAAATAAAGATGGCGTTTTAATCACTAAAATACTTATAATAATAATGACTGTACTAAGTCCATTTGCATCTCCTATTTCCATATTGGCACGTAACAAACGAGAAAAGCGAACCGAACCGAAGTTACACCCGGGCACTTTATTTTTCAAACTAACCACTACAGTCATATTCCAGGAAAATACGTTTACATTGGCTCAAGTCGCCAACTAACTTATATCTCAAGACCTCGCTTTGGAACAGGGAAAATTCCACCAGGGATACCCTGCGGCGGTTGGCACGTTAGCGTCGAATGTCGCTGGCACGTCGGCAAATCGGACATTCGGAAATGTGGCTAATCCGATTTGTTACGCAGGTGCTTATTAATAAGGATTCGGTTGTGTGATTGGGACAATATCTTGTTATTTGGGGTTGTGAGCTGGGAGCGTAGTGTGAGCTTACTTCAAACGCATTTGATATCAAATGCGTAAAAAAGTGACATTTAATATGTATGACGGATTGTACAGCGCCTCTAGCGGAAACTTTCAAGAACTAAAATCTTAAATATATATAATTCAAAGGTGACTGACTGACTGATATAGTGATCTATCAACGCACAGCCCAATCACTGGACGGATCGGGCTGAAATTTGGCATGCAGGCAGATGTTATGACGTAGGCATTCGCTAAGAAAGGATTTTACGAAACTCCACTTCAAGGGGGTTAACCGAGATCCACACGTACGAAGTCGCGGGCGGCCGCTAGTCTTTATATTTTTTTAACGCAGTTGATATTGAATGCGTTTAACGTAAACTCACACTACGCCCCCGTCTTAATCTTATAGAATGGGTTATTGGAAGGGTATTAACAATATTGTAAGCTTGGAATAGAGAGATTCAATATCAACGAGAATTTGATAAAGACAGAAGTTTACAGTGGGCTGAGTGTGAGTTGAGCTATGAAAATTTTAGTTTTTGAACGTTTTCCGCTAGGGGCGCTGTACAATCCGTCATACATGTAATGTCATTTTTTGACGCGCTCACTAGTGAGCGTGTTTGATGAACTTTGATGTAAACTCACACGAGGCCCTCAGGATAATATTATTGAAATCTATATATCTATANTTTTGTTACGCAGGTGCTTATTAATAAGGATTCGGTTGTGTGATTGGGAAAATATCTTGTTATTTGGGGTTGCATTAGTCCTGGGGGCGTAGTGTGAGCTTACTTCAAACGCATTCGATATCAAATGCGTAAAAAAGTTAAATGTATGACGGATTGTACAGCGCCTCTAGCGGAAACTTTCGAGAACTTAAATCTTTATTTTTTTTTAAGCGGCCGATATCGAATGTGTTTGACGTAAACTCACCCTACGCCCCCGTCTTAATATTATAGAACGGTTTATTGAAAGGGTATTAACATTATTGTAAGCTTGGAATAGAGAGATTCAATATCAACGAGAATTTGATAAAGACAGAAGTGCTTACAGGATAATATTATTCAAAACTAGCGGCCGCCCGCGACTTCCTACGCGTGGATCCCGTTTTACCCCTTTCATGTATCTTACGCGGTTTAGATTTTTTCATACAAATGTTTTTTCCCGCTAACTACCGTTCCTGTGAGAATTTTGCAATATGCTGTTGTAACTAAGCTTTAAGTTTACTAAGGTACCTGCATGCCAAATTTTAAGCATCTAACTCAAGCGGTTTAGATTTTTCATACAAAAGGATTTTTCCGCTAATTCCTGTTCCCGTGGGAATTCCTAAGTATACTATATTCTAACCAGGAGTATGATAATTGTACCAAGTTTCGTTAAATTACGTCGAGTAGTTTTTGTTTCTATAAGGAACATACAGACAGACAGACAAAAATTTTACTGATTGCATTTTTGGTATCAGTATCACCCCCTGATAGTTATTTTGAAAATATATTTCATGTACAGAATTTACCTCTCTACAGATTTATTATAAGTATAGATTTTCACAGATCCCAACACACTCTAAAGTGTGTGTAGGGACTTCATTAGGTATGAAATTTCATGCTCATGCATTTGGCAGGACATAAAGAGCGTTTATAAGAATAGTTTAGATTTCACGACCGTAGTTTTGATGGCAAAATGCGCGATAATGGCTTTCTGAGAGACCTAATGCATGCATGCTGGGTAATGGACATGTTATAAAAATAAGAAAAGTAAACCAAAATTATCACCACGCTTAGGCCGAGTTGCACCGTCTTACTTTAACTTTGACAAACGTCAAAAATTTGTCAAACTCCATACAAAAAGCACTGGTTATCGTTAATGTTATGGTTAAAATAAGGTAGTGCAACTTAGCCTTACTCTTCCCTTGGATGTCGTCAAAGGCGACTCTCCAACCGATTGGCCAGAGTGGGTAGTGTAGGCTCCCTAATGGGTCCAATGACAGTTTAACTTTCCCCCGGGACAAACTTGACCTTCATTGGTTGGGTTTTTGTGGCGGTCAAGCTGTAGATCCTGGCTACGCAGAAGTTGCAGTGGTGGGAACGAGAGGTGGGAATAGTCCCGTAATGGTGCCCAACAAGCTGGCCAGATGTGGAGTATAGGCTCAAATGGTTCTTCAGTGGAGACTAAATGACCTGATGATGAAACTAAATTATTATAGATCTAGCGCTTAGATCTTTAAATATAGACCCAAAATACTGAACTGTCCTATCTGTGACATTGACAGCGGGGCGCCACCGTCAATACCGAATCGCTGGTTCCGATTTTTGTCATGTTAAAAACTATATAGTTGAACGATAGTGGCGCCCCTCTGTCAATGAGTTTGGTGGGACAGATCAGTTTGAGTCATGGTTGGTCATGGTCATATGCTTCAGATGTATAGGCTCTGTCACATCATAACATGTCAATGTCACCCCTACCATGCCGACCCCAACCTCAGGTACTGACTAAGTCAAGCAATAGACCTTTTAACACCACATGTATACTATTTCAGGTTACCAAAGGGCTCTATCTTCGACAATGATGATCACAAGGAATATGATTCTGCCCACACGCTGACTGATGACTGCGCCATCAAGTACCCTGGATGCGAAAACTTCCAACCACCCACGGATTCGTGAATAAAATAAAAATGTTATACTGGTGTTTTCTATCATTTGAACCTACTTAAGCACTTCAGCAGGTCCGCCACTAGGTGGACCGACGATCTGGTGAAGGTCGCGGAAAAAGTCTGGTTACGGGCAGCGCAGTACCGTTTGTTATGGAAATCAGCAGTGGATGTCATTTGGCTAAAACGAACGATAAAATTTCAACGTGAACCGTTGATAGCTGGTAGAGGTTTTTTGCCTGAAAAGAAAAACTAGATTAATTTAAAAACTATTCAAGATAGGTTTTCCTGTGAGTTTTAGCTGGTAGCAAAATGCTAGACTGCTAGAATAATAATATTATAAGTCACTACTCTAGTGTCAAACTTCACAACCTGATATAAGCACCTGACAAAGCTCAATCGGATATAGTGCTTAAAGTAACTTAATAGGAATTCAATGAAAAGAATAATAAAACGATTGATTCGAAATAAAAAATGTAGATATATTAAACTTAAGTTGACTCTACTTTTATTTGTTTTTTATTTCTTACGTAACGAGTTAAACCTAATTTACGGTATTTCGATAATTTTATCTTGCCTTGAATACATGTTACTTTATCGGCTCATTAATAAATGTATAATAATAATACATACCTCTATTACAGAAATTAAAACTCATCTCAGGTTTGTTTATAAATTCTACCATAATGTTAATTGAGTTGGGATTGAGAAATGAACAGTGTTATATTATGAGAGGGGAAGTGTCAAGAAAATAAACAAATTACAACGACAGTATTTTGTTTTTCTATCTAGAGTGGTAGATAACAATTCATTAGCTTGATTATAGAAAAAATAAAAGGGTTTGTTTTAAAATGATAAAGGTAAGGAACAAACTCTTTCCCTGCAATTTTTTCTCGTGTTCAAGTGCTTAATTATTTTTATTATTAAATTAATTATAAAATATTTTGCAGTATAATAGTTCAGCAGTAACGATAGTAAGTTTGAAACTACGAGTAATTCTATCTGCGTCTAAATATAAATTAGAAATAATTTAATTACAACAACATGAACTGACTGAATGTCTACTAAATAGGGAATATGCAAGATTTTTTTACTTCTCACATTTCAGTAATGCTAAGGCATTATCAAATCAATAATCAATCAAATAAATTTCAAAAGATACCTAAGATATAGACATTAGAGCTCTCATGACGTCATTGGTTAGAACGACACGCAGAGTCCCATACAAGTTACCATAGGCGGGTGACATTTGACATCACGCTCAGCTATTTCTATACAAAGATTAAACACTGGTAAATTTTTATTTCCTGTACGATTTTAATAAATTTTTTAAATAGTTAATTTATCAACTTTTAAAATCGATGCATATTTCTTGATACAAACTGAATATTCAAAATCAACATTCTCGTAGACAAAGCCAAATTCATCTAGAATCGAATTATAAACTTGTTAGTTGTTACATTTTTCTGTTGTTTATCTTCACAAACAATTTGGAACGGACCTCTATTTGTCGTATCCTCATTTAGCACGATTTCACTGTTTCAAACGAAACAGTTAACAATTAGTATCACTGTGTTTCTTGTAAGCAACATGGCCCAGTTCAGTGTGGGTCTCCAAAGAAGTCTGCTGTATCTATACTAATATTATAAATGCGAAAGTAACAGGAAGATAGCTTGAGTCCCGGGAAAGGACATACTAGGATAGTTTTTATCCAGGTTTTTGAAACAGGGAAAATTTTTCTGTGACAGACAAAATTCCACGCGGGCGAAGCCGCGGGCGGAAAGCTAGTTAGATTATAAGACCAGGTGAGTTGCAGCTGTTGAATTGGTTGTATGAAAATTAATTACTAGTTGTTACTTAAAGTTAATTATTAAAAGTCTTAATTACTGGTGAATAAGGTGCTAATTATGTTCATGTAAATGTTATGTAATTGACGCAATTCTTGCAGACTTAAGGCTTTTTTACACTCAGTAAAAAAAGTCTGTCTTTAAAATAATCCTACTTATAATATTATAAATGCGAAAGTTTGTGTGGATGTCTAGATGTCTGGATGTTTGTTACTCTTTTACGCAAAAACTACTAAACGGATTTTGATTAAACTTTACAGTATTATTGTTTATAACCCAGAATAACATATAAGGCTATAATTTATGACGATCTGTGACAAACTAAATGTCACGCGGGTGAAGCCGCGGGCAAAAGCTAGTGTTTATTAAAATCGTCAAAGATATGAAACCAAATATCAGTAATGCCAACAAAAACTATTACTTTACATTAATCTTAACATAATTATTAAACTTTCCAATATCATTTAAAGTTAAGTAAGCTGATTATTATTTAATGAAAGCTTTAAAGCTTCAATTCCAACGAAATTAGTCAGAAAATTGCTGTTACAAAATTTTACTGTTCATTGCAAACACGTATTTTGACGTCCAACGTTGTTAAAAGTAAAACAAATAATTGTGTTAATATTGAATACAATAGGCATTTTATACAGGGTGGAAACGATAAGTGATCTCACTCGATTATTTCTAAACTATACAAGATATCGAAAAACTGTTTATTGATCCTGAAAGTGCTTCACAAGCTCTTTCAAACGGTACCAATAATAGGTTACAGACTAAACTAGAACTATCCGAAAATTCAATGTTTCCAGCTTCCATACTAAATGTATGCCAACCACACAATATTAGAAGTGTAATTTATTTATTGTTAAATAGTAAACTTAAAAAGTTTGTTAAAATACTCATAACTTGCAAATTATTTGTGGAAAACATTAGTTTTAGGCTTTACTTGCTATAATATTATCAAGAGATGAGTGCCATGACTGTGATAGTACTAATTGTATGGAAGATGGAAACATTGAATTTTTGGATAGATCCAATTTATTCTGTAAGCTATTGTTGATACCGTTGGATAGAGCTCGTAAAGTACTTTTAGGATCAGTAACTAGTTTTGCGATATCATGTGTAGTTTTTAATATTATGAAACTTTACCAAATGTATGAAAGCTGGAAACATTGAATTTTCGGATATTTCCAGTTTATTCTGAGACCTATTATTACTACCGTTTGAAAGAGCTCGTGAAGCACTTTCAGGATCAGTAACCAGTTTTTCGATATCTTGTATAGTTTAGAAATAATCGAGTGAGATCACTTATCGTTTCCACCCTGTATAGCTCATCGGTTCACTGTGTAAATAACAAACAAGGGATTAAAAACTATTGACGTGATCGTATTTAACTGTTACAAATAAGTACATGATTATTGAGAGAGATTAAAGTTTGAATTCGCATATTTTGGACAAGGTTTTTTGTTATATTTTAACTGATCTTTATTTACCATTAAGCATTCATATTCATACGAATTACAATGTAGGGGAGACAGAGGTGGGTTGTAGTATAGAGCGCTTTTAGTTCAAGTCTCGCGCTACCAAATGCGCACAGTGCGAACTCGCTGATAAATGCCATAAATTAATAGGTTTTAAAAAATTTACAATGTCACAACTCTTCTCTGTTACAACTCACCTCGGTCTAGGGATTTTATGGATATGTAGTTTCGGTTATGGTTACGGTTACGGATATAGGAATAATATTACCTACCGGTTTCGGTTACGGTTACCGATATTTTTTTATTTCGGATATCCGAAAGTTTCGGATACGGTTACGGATATCTGTGCTTTAGAATGCAATTTTCAATAGTTGTTTAACACGGTTCATTAATGGCCGCACTTTACATCGTATAAAAAGTAATAAAAAAATAAAAATTGATACCTACTAAAGCCTGGTCCGTGAGACACTTACTGCGGGCGCCCGTCGCACAGTCGCGACAGCAACATAATTACGCGCGAGCGATAGGGATGGGTAGCTTGGGGTCATTGGTGCTCTTCTACGTGCTCACGGACCAGGCTTTAGATACTGTTATGCCTTTTTAAACTGCCTACATTCGAAACTATCCGAAACTTTTGAATGGGTTACGGTTTCGGATATCCGAAAGTTTCGGTTACGGTTAATAAATTGTAAATTATTTGTTTTTATTACAGATTCATCCGCTATGAAAAATATACTTGTGCTTTGCACTTTTTTATTGATCGGTGTAGTTTATGGGACTGTTAATAATGGGACTAGTTATGAAGTAAAGGAAGACTCCATCGAAAGACATAGCAAAATACTGTCCAGGAGGAAGAGATTTTTGATATTCCCCGATGGCAGTTCATTTCAATTGGGTAATTATTTTAATGTAATTAGACTTTCTAAATCGTTACATTGGATGGTCCTTGTGGTCGGGTGATCAGTTACATAGGAGTATTGGATAGTCAGGTGCGAGTTCGAATCCCGCAATGATACAACTTTACATCCATCGCATCCATTATAAAAGCTTTTTGATGATAAACTCCTGAATTATGAACGTAAAAAATTGCTTTTTACTTGAGTTAAATTCAATGATTAAACATCCTAACGTTTCCTAATTATTTTAAAATTTTTGATCATCAAAATATTTCCTTTCAGGTCTGAAGTTTCAGAACTCAAACAATGACTTTCACTATCTTAGATCGATTTTTTTCACATCATCATAGACATTCGAAACTAGTTTACTTTTTAATTAAACCCTGTGAAATACTTCCTTCCAGTATTCTGTGCCCAAAACCAGGGGTACTTACAAATAGGGGACATCGTCTGGTTCGGAAACACCGCCGCTTTGGCGTGGGAGCTGCCCTCAGACCCGCAACTCTTTTATATGTTGAAAGAACAAAGCAAGATATACAGTACTAGAAGAGAGGATACGAAGCATATTTATTACCTGGATGAAGCTGGCAAGGTCCTGAGTAAGGTGCCGTATAGAAGGTAAGCTAATTAAAATACTTAAAATGGCAACGGTGGTGCCACCACGGTACTTTTTAAGTACTTTTCATTACTAGAAAGTTTGGGATACGCTACTTAAGCTAAAAAAAAACATAATTTTGTCAAAAATGTAAGCTTGATGAAAATATCTTTTTAGACCTATTTTATAGCAGTAAGTAATTTGATATTCGCAGTTTTTGAAGATTGAAGCAGGGTGCGATTAAAATACTTATAGAAATGATAAAATCAGTAAGAGCACGCAAAGGAACTTAGGTAAACAGATCATGAGTTAGATCTTTGTTCAGCACTGGGCTACCATGAAAAAAAAAAACAATAATAAACCCTCTGATACGTCATATAAATCATCAAGGATATCATCAGTTTCTACTGTATCGTGCTCTATTATGTACAATTGTACATACATGCGTATCTCTTCAATATTATACAAGTTCAGGCAATTACAACACCCTTTGTCTAATGAAATTACACGTGAATCTAATTACAGTAACTAATTACTGTGGAGCTAATATACAACTGATTAATTAAAACTTACACCATTATTTTTTATGCAGTATAGGTTAGTCTCCGTGACTCCCACTCGGCATGGGGCACACTGAAAACCAGCGTCGTGGCCTTCCTCACCGGGGGCCACGGCATATGCTGAGTGGGGTCCCTTTGCGTTGGGCATCGCTGTGCGACAGGGTGGCACTGCTCAGTTTACTTTATCTTCCATTGTATGTTTTATGTGTTACCTCTGTCTTGTTTGCGGTTTTTTTTTATTTACGTCTTTTGTGATGTCCATTGCAATAAATGTTTCTTTCTTTCTTTCTATTTTAGGAGGCCTATTGTGAATCCAGCCTTTGCTAAGCGGAGCATCAAAGGAGTAACTCCAAGTGACAACAATTCGACTGCACCATGTATCAAGGATATGCACGAAAGAGAGAAACGGAGAGATATTTTCAAAGAGTTAGAGAAGGACAGAATCGAGTTTCATAGGCAGTCGAAGAAGAACTTCTATGGGAAGATGGAAATTGTTTTTGAAGGGTGAGTGCACTATATGAGTAACACAATAACAGTATAGAGTACAAACGATACCGGCTAAGTGCGCGAGGACGCACAGGGTGACACACGAACCAATCACAGCGCTCTATTCAGCGCTGTGCGTTCGACCATCAATCCCTAATTTTTAAGTGACTCCTATGGTAACACATAACAGAAAGAAGAACGGTCATCTGTGACCCAGGCCTGACAGAAACGAGACATACCTCAGTCTTAATTAGTTAAATTATATATTTTTTATATTCGAAATCTATGTATAACACCAAAATATTACCCTTTGTTTTTGTTCAGGCGTTATACAAAAACTAATACAAAATGCCTATTTATCCCCAAAATTGGTAAATGTATGTACCTAAATGTTTAGTACAGCTGCTATGGAATATATCTAGGTGACCTGGAGATACAGCCGGATTATACAGGGTGGAAACGATAAGTGACAAAATCCAAAAATTCAATGTTACCAGCTTCCACAATCTGTAACCTATTATTGGTACCATTTGAAAGAGCTCGTAAAGCACTTTCAGAATCAGTAACTAGTTTTTCGATATCTTGTATAGTTTAGAAATAATCGAGTGAGATCACTTATCGTTTCCACCCTGTATAATCCGGCTGTATCTCCAGGTCACCTAGATACATTCCATAGCAGCTGTAATAGACATTTAGGTACATACATTTACCTATTTTGGTGATAAATAGGCATTTTGTATTAGTTTTTGTATGACGCCTGAACAAAAACAAAGGGTAATATTTTGGTGTTATACATAGATTTCGAATATAAAAAATATATAATTTAACTAATTAAGACATAACAAAAAAATTGAGGTATGTCTCGTTTCTGTCGGGTCTGGGTTTTTTTTGTATGGGGTGTGACCGTTCTTCTTTTGTTTTCAAAGGGGTCACTTAAAAATTCGGGATTGATCAAAACGGGCATATAACTCCCACTAACAAATCTGAAATTCATTACCAAATGGCGAAAGTTTTAATTCGTTATAATCAAGTAAGTACCTAAGCCTTAAATTCTTATAAAATAACTACCGGCCGCCCGCGACTTCGTACGCGTGGATCCCGTTTTACCCCCTTTTCCCGAATTTTCTTTGCTATAAACCTCACGGAGCCCGAGACCTTTCCAACGAATGCAAAACCGTGGAAATCGGTTCGTGCGTTCTGGAGTTATAGCGTCAGGGAGGAAAACCCGACTTATTTTTATATAGTAGATGTTTTACTAATTGTTATTACAGGCTTGGCATGCATGGTAAAGACTGCGTTCTTCGGATGCTATGTCAATCAGCTTATTCAAACAACGTCCAGGGATCCTTCTTGGAAGAAATTGTAAAGGCGACATTTACGTACGTATCTTTATTGATAGAGCTTATGCTCTAGCAACCCTTGTCAAAAGAATCCAACAATAAAATAGAAATTTCAGCTGCCTAGTTTAGTGTCATTCAGGAAGTAACGCCCGTATTCACAAACATTACTATGAGGTCTCACAGTGCGCGTGGACGCACAGGGTGACACCCGAACCAATAACAGAGCTCTATGCAACGCTGTGAGTTCGATTTGCTGCTTCACTTAAGCATGCATCGTTTGTGAATAGGTACGGGCGATAGTCGGCTAGTTTGGTGCCAAAAGTTGTGATTTTGATCCTAACACAGATCAATATTTATGACAATGTACCTGTAAGTTTTGCCTTTGTCCAAGGATTTCTATCATTTTATTTTTTACTAGCTTTCCGCCCGCGGCTTCGCGCGCGTGGACTACATTATCTACATATTTTACGAAACCCTATTTTTTTCCAAAATAAAATTTAGCCTATGTTACTTGTGGATAGTGTAGCTTTCGAATGGTGAAAGAATTTTAAAAAACGGTCCAGTAGTTTTTGAGCCTATTCATAACAACCAAACAAACAAAGTTTTCCTCTTTATAATATTAGTGTATACTGCCTGTGTTTATATTCCATCGAAATCACATTGCTATCAGTCATTAAAAAAAAATCGAGTTTAAAAATGTGAATCACGAAATTTAGTTCGTGCACAATTTTTACAAACTAAAAAGTAGAAACGAGTGAATCTATCTCTAAAAGTGGACGCTTGTGTACTATAAATTTTTCTCAGCGAATTCAGTCTCATAACTTATTTCAGATTGCCCCGAGGTCGCGGGTTTGATTCCGAGCCGCATAAGCAGTACGATGTAGCCCATGGGACCGGCGGCGACTGTACCCAGAAGTATCCGAATTGTAATATTTCTGTTATTTGAATAAAGGATTTTCGAACATACTTTACTTCTTGCCTTACATATTTTAATACTGCCCTAGTTTTGTCTAAAGAAAGTAACAAATGCTAACAACAGATAGCGTTGATTGGATATTGCTTCGCGCTCAGTTAAATCATTCATGAATATGACAAATACCGTTCTTGTTTTCTCAAGAAATGAACCAAAATCCCGTCTGAAGATTCGTACAAATGTAATATTTTATTTCGTAACGACATTGTTACAAAAACTGAAAAGACATTTGAAATATTTTATTTACAAATCAGAGCATACCGAATCACGTATGCACACAATTTCAAATTAGACCGTAACTAAGTCCAATAAAGTTGAATATCCCGTGGCATGTTTTGCTTCCCACTCCAATGGAATTTCAACCTAAGTGGGTGTTCATAAGGTTAAAAATTGAGGGATGTGTAAAAGTTACATCGAGCTACGAATCGTCGTGACTGAGCTAATGAGTGGAGGCGGCGCAGGCAGTCTAATTTCTCGTGTAAACATCCTGGGTCAGTGAACAGCGCAAGCGCTCCGTGACGAGTGCTGTGCTGGCGTGTACTAATGTGGACATACCCAATAGGACTAAAAGGATAAGTCGTTATTTTGAATATTTTTGCCGACCGACCTTAATTGGCCGATAGTTGGGCGCGATTCTAATTTGTATGAAGAATCGGCCGACACCAAATCGGTGTAATGTGCGTACTTTCATACATCTCCACACTGATCAAGATCAATAGCCTGACACAACTATCGGCCAACTAAAAATCGGTGGTCTGCGCCTAGGCTTATTGTTGCTTGAAATTAACCCGTCAAAACAGATTTAGAACATATAGGCGCATTCAGGTATTTGTAGCAATTTAAAATGGGTCCTAAAATGTTCTTGTAGAGAACCTATCTTTTGAAGCCGAGTCACTTGAAGGGTTAATTTTTCGGAATTTTAGTGGGTAGTGTGAAACTGTTAGTAATCCTACTAACATTTTCATGTAAAATGTTACGAGACGACAGACAGACAACGATATCATGTGGTTTGTAATGTGAAAAGTCAAGCTTCTAACTCTACTCGCCCTAACTTCACAAACTCCATTACTTCGTCAAATTAACTGGCATTACATTTTAAATTCTAAACGAATGTCAATAAGGCTCATAATACCTCAGCATCATTGCTATTTAATCTGTTTAGTGACGGAATGATCATGTCCACACTAATCCGAGTGTGACTGCGCTTGTAAAAGCGTCAATGGATTTTCTTTTGGAATCCATATCTAAATTAAACATGCCTTTGTCCATATGCTCACTGTCCATTTCAAGACATGCATCAGGTGATTCTAGTTCTGTTGTTGGTGTTGGTGACGATTGATGTGTGCGAACTGGTTAACGATTGTCCTAATTTGAGGACACCGTTGAATTTGATGAGGAGGAAGAGGTATCTGGCTTTTCCTGATAACAGCGATGTTGTGGTGAGTGTTTTGATGTGATTATGATAAGACGGGATAAGTAAACTAGTCTACTTTTTATATTCTAAAGATTTTTATGCATACGTAAGTATGAATAGGTAATATGAAGTCGGTTAGAACTAGACAGTGTGATTACAGTGAGATTTCAAATAAAAAAAAAACAAAATTTGAAAGTTTAAAGTTAGATTTCTTCGTTGTATTCTTTTTCGTCTTGTTGACCTTCTGGAAATTATGTAACCTTCTTTGTTTGACCATAGAGTCAGGCTTAACAAACCACCATAATATTATCACTAATTTTAAATCTTTCTTTTCTATACTATTATTATAAAGAGGTAAACTTTGTGTGTTTGTATATTTGTTAAATTGTAAGGGGTAATCTCGGGATCTACTGAATCGATTTTAAAAATTAGTTCACCAATAGAAAGCCACATTATTGCTGAGTGTCATAGGTTATATAAAAAACGTAAAAATTCCACGTGGGCGGCAAGCTAGTGTTATATAAACAGATGATTTATCATCCCTGTAGACTGCATATCATTTCGGTGACACGCACATTACTTTATTTATTTTTCATATTACGTAGTAGTGTAATTTCATAATACGAGTAGCACTAATTTCTAATTCTTTTGACAGTTGACAGCATCCCTACTGACAGCCTTCCTGACTCACATACCAGCTGGCTGGAACCTGGCTTTAGAGATTGACGTGCTCTTCCCGCTACCAGACCTGAACTTTACGGTGGCGCACGCGCACAAGAAGAAACTCCATCACCGGCAGAAGAAGGAGCTATGGACGCGGTTTGAAGACGCGTTGTCTTTGTAAGTAGAATATTTCGAGTAAATAATAGTATGAGAGCGTTATGCAGTTGTGAACGATGCCAGATTTTACAATATGCCAGAACTTACATCAGTTTTTAATCTATACTATATATTATAATTTCTTTCAAGGCGAGAAAAGCTCACAAGTATTACATTCGAATCAATGCTAGTGTAATTTTTAAGATCCCACAGATTAATTTATTCAGTAAATAGAAATGTCGAATAACGTAAGACACTTTAAATCAGCATCACAGGTTTACCAGTGTCTCCATAGCACAGTGGTCAGAGTTATCACAAGGAAAAGGCCTCGGGTTCAAATCTTACATGGGGCAGTCATTTTTTTTAAACTTGAAAAAATCTATTTTTATTATTAACAGTTATGTCAGCTTTTAATGATAACGAAACAGAAGTTTAATGATAACAAAACTTTTTAAACAACACAAGAATTAACTTGATTATCGGAAATATTCTTACCGTTAGATAATTCCTGGCAATAAGTGGTGACTGAGTTTGTTCCGGCGTTTCTTCTCAGCACTTGCCATATGTTTGTCTCGAAGCGCTGGTAGGGCCCAAAAGATAAGGAGACATGTAAAGTGCCCCATAAGGGCTACCTTTTTCTTTTTTTATTATTTTCTATTGACGTTCATAAGTGCCACTTGTGGTCTAAACTGAATAAATATTTTTGATTTTTTTTTTGTGCTATTCTATATCTGAGGCTCTATTATATCATGCATGCTTAATTGAGAAGTCTGACATCAACTTCAAATTTCCACCCACTCATATGTCATATCATCATCAATAATGAATCTACCTTGTTAATTTCAAATCAAAGATTAAAAAAGCATTCCACATCCCTCCACTGTGCACCATATACACGATAAAATAATATCCCCAGCTCATGTTATCCGTTATTTTCAGTCACAATCTAGACGGGCGTGCGTGTGTGCTTAAAAGCATATGTGAAGCCAAGGTCTACCTAGCGCCTCCAGGGAAATCACTGGTCCATGACATATTAAGAGCCGTATTCGCGTGAGTACCTTGTTTGTCTTAAATTTGATCGATGGGCACATTTGCACCGTGGTTATTAAAGGGGGAAGGTGGGAAGGTGGGAAGCTTATTAATCATTGCTTTTTCAGGGCTCGGATGGGTTACATATTGCTGGGATATAATAAAGGGCGGTGATAATGTGAGATATGGGTAATTTAAAAAAATATCTGATGAGGAACTCTGTAATATAGCAAATGGGCTATGAGTTTGAATAAGGAAACGTATCAAAACTCTTCAGCAAAAACATAGTAAAAACAGTTTTTTATTCATTCCTAGATATTGCTTTTTCTTGCGATGGACAAACAGAAATAAATTCAACTCTTACATTATTACCACAATGAGTTTAAAACATGTTTGCTTACAAAAATCTCACAAAAAAAACGTTTACTGTCAAAATATGCTTGAGCGGTTCATTTCATTCAGACACCATTTTCAAATAATGTAGCGCTGTTTGTAATGAGACACGTTAATAATAATTACACACAATAGAAAATCAATGTAATAATCTGCCAAGCAAATACAGCTGTTTCTGTCCCAAAGAAGCAACCAGGGGTGCCATAACTTTAGCATTAGGAACTGGTTCGTAGCAATAAATTTACCGCGCCGCAGGGGGTTCGGTGTCTGGCTGATGCATCGTTGGCACTTTCACTTGCTTTTACTGTCTTAGTTTTTTGTGTCTTTATGGGATTAGTTACTTAAGTGATGGGTTTATAGGGTACATTATTGATTATTGCAGTTTGAGCTGATTAAGCTTTATCAAAACTGAAATGAGAGAGACACTCAGTTCTCTACATTCCCTGTGGGGTTAAATGGCGATTTTGTATGTTTACTGTTTCATAGAGTATTTGTACCTAATTCTGGTATATTTCAGAACCAATTATAAAGAATTGAAAATAATGTCATTTAAGCCATTATTTTTGACCCACTGATCATAGTCTGTGATTAAGCCCAATTCCCAAAGATTAGTAGGTACTTCTAGATTTTTTATAGCTTCAGTTGATTTCAATGGAAAATGATTTTCTTTGGCTTTTCTAACTCACAGCTTTGTTTGCATATCACGTCTATAAAAAGGGTGAATTTCCTATAAAACGCTTGTATTTCTAACATTTTGTATTTTATTTTCGATAACACATAAACAGATACACTAATGGGAACGGTCAATATTTCCTCCACTCGATTTTAATGTCATTAACTGTTCAGTAAATCAATCAATGTACGTACAGACAGCACAACAAACTAAACACTATGACATCTATCTAGTTGTGATAGGTGTTATTTTGCAAGAGAAATGTGTATACTCTAAATATGTAGACTGTATTTTCGAAACGAAATACCCAGAGGATCCATGTTTTTGATCCCTTGACTCGGCCACAAACTAATTACATGTAAGCAAGTGTCAATTAACCTTAGTTTATTGAGTCCAGCAAACAACCCTTTGGCATCAAATAAATTATATTTGAAATCGGAATCAAAGTTAGTTTGACGCTTAAAAGTTTTGATACGATTTGGAACGGATAGTTTTAACGTAGCATGCATAATATTAATTTGTATTATTTGTAGGTACATCAATTTAAATTTTAATTCGTTATTATCTATCTAGCTAGAAATGCTAGAATATTGATTGAAGCCGGAAGACAGCATGGGTAGGCTTCCTACTAGTTGGACCGACGATCGATACTAAAAGTACTTTACGACGATATTAAAAAAGTACTTTAATGAAAAAGGGCTACTATAAAGTCGATGATTATTTAAAAGACAAAAATGTTTGGGATGCGTTACTTCCTAGCTCGCATAAATATTTATAACTTTGTACATTTTAAAGCCTGTAAACCTTTGAAAAAGAGGCTGACAATAGTGACTGAGATTCTTGCGCTGCTTCTTCTCAGCACTGGCCCATTTATTGTCCTGAAGCAGTGGTAGGGTTAATACTGGGACGTGTAAAAGTGCTTTTTTAAGCCTATTTACAGAAATAAATGAGTTTTATGAGTTTTTTATGATCTGGTGAAAAGGTCGCAGGAAAAACTTAGATGCGGGCAGCACAAGACCGGTCGTTATGGAAAACCTTTGGGAAACCTTTTTCCAGCAGGACGTCATGTGGCTGAAACGAACGAATATCATATTGATATTATTCATGACAATACCGAATTGAATTTAACAATGAGTTCGTTCGTTTCAGCCAAATGACGTCCACTGCTGGACAAAGGCCTCCCCCAATGAACGGTCCTGCGCTACCCGCATCCAGGCTCTTCCCGCGACCTTTACCAGATCGTCGGTCCACCTAGTAGGAGGCCTGCCCACGCTACGTCTTCCAGCCCGTGGTCGCCACTCGAGAACTTTCCTGCCCCAACGGCCATCGTCTCTACGAGCTAAGTGCCCCGCTATAGTAACAATGAGTAGGTATTTACAATTACTGAGACAACTTTACCGGACATTTACGTCTTACAATTTTTTTCTAAAAAATTGAAAAATGTCTAAGTGTCTCGCCTAAGAAGGTGAGTGAGTATAGACTAGTTGAGCATAAGTACTTGTAACAGAACAATCAGTTGCTCTATGATTTGTTCTAGGTACACCCTTTGACGAACCAAACGTTCATTTTACCGGTATTGTACCATCCGTGAGAACGTTAAATTACATAGAAATGCTCTCATCTATACTCACCTTTATTCACAAAGTTGTGTTACAATTAAATTATAAGAATTTGTATGCCATAATCAACGAAATTAAAACCGGGCCTTTTCAAGGCGAGAGTGAATAGGCATTACAGGGCAGATATGTACCATCCCAGACTGAATCTCACTTAACACCAGGTGCGATTGCGGTCAAATACCTGCATAAAACTACTTGTCTTGCATAAAAAACAAACAATATTTCAGATCCACTTGACACTTTTCTAAAGTTACGCTAAAGTTTCTCTATTGTTACATTTATTATTTGGCATAAATGTATACCTGCTTGTTTCAACGTCCTGTAATAAATAATACACACAGGACAGGCTGTTAGAAAAGCCACTACGATTGTCCCGAGAACTAATTTTGACGTACATTGCAAGGCGTAAGCATAGCAGGCGAGTAAGAACATCACCAATTTTAGTTCCATGGACTTGGACAATGGTATCTGCCTACAATATGACCTACAGCGCCAAAAGGTGAAACTCAAATATGCACAGAAATGTTATTACAGCAGCCAGTGCAGTATGTAATAATACAGGTCAGTGACTTATTTGTACAACTTGATAGGCGTATAATTATTAAGACAAAACTAATTTAACGATTACACAGCGAATAACAAAATAACAATAAAATTATCCGGCACGCCACTATCTATTGGATGATCGGATAGTCGTAAAATTTACGAGGCTGTATAGTTAGGCTGTATGGCTTTAATGTGTACGCTTTAATTGTCTATGATAATAGAACATGAAACCGGAAACTATTTTCAAATTAGATTATCTGTATCGCTGCTTCCGTTGTTTTAGTAGGGTAGTAAATTAAATAGGTGTTGTGGTGATTTGTTTTTCGATTAGTTGGTAGTTTGTTTTAGTAGGTAATGGAATGGAATGGCTTATGATTTAATAATAAATAATGAAATTTATATTCACAGGTTTGCACTCATTGTAAAGTTTGTGAGTTAGGCTAAATGAGGGCTATCGTTTTTATACTTAACAGTTGGCACCCCTGGCGATTGACAGGACCTTACTCTACAGTGGCGCCATCTTGATGAGTGCAAATGCGATAGTCCTCCTACCACTTTAGCGCTCACCAGTTGGTGCCACTGTCTTCGCGACTAGCAAGTGACAGGACCTTACTCTACAGTGGCGCTAACTGGTGAGCGCTAAAACGATAGCCCTCATTGCACCACCTAACTTTAACCGTGACTATAACGATATCCGGTGTATTTTGTATGGAGTTTGACGTTTGATATAAAAACAAACGATTTCAAACTTAAGCTATAATTAACTAACCGTTCGTTTGATTAACTACATAATTATTTATGCTGAATCCATTCCCAACACATATTATTTAGCTTTCTGGTTAATGGCTAGTTACTGAAAATGAAAAATGAAAATGAAAAAACATTTATTCAGCATCTTTGAAGTTAACATATTGTTGCAGGTGGCTAGGGTCTCCTTTTAAATATAATACCTGTGTTAGGAGGCCCCGCTCTTTCTTAAAGTTACAAAGATACATATTATGTTAAACAAGCCACAAAAACAAAAAGTTACTAGTAGGTACCTTTAAAATGTTTTGGTATATTTGTTAAAAATGATTTTTTCTAAATTCCAGAGTCCCAGAAATGGATCAAGAATTCCGTAACGAGGTGGAAGGATTCTACGATGAGCTTCTGACCCCCGACTACTGTGAGAAGATAGGATCCTGTCCTGTGTCCCTACTGCACTTTATTTTGGTATTAAATGAGAGGAAGCATTAAACTGTGTTTTATTTATAAAATAAAAAAATAAAAAAGTTATTATGTATTCGTTGTCTAGTACCCCTAGTAAAAGCTTTGCGTAGTTTGGGACTAGAGGCGCAGTGTAAAATGTCCAAGGATATTATACTTATTAGGAATCATTTTTATGTCTGACGGACAAAATAATTTAGTATAACTTCGTAATGATATACGCAGTGATACTTCATAGGTGTAGGCCGCTAGGGCAGAAAAGTTCTCGAGTGGCGACCACGAGCTTGAAGACGTAGTGTGTGCAGGCCTCCCACTAGGTGGACCGACGATCTAGTGAAGGTTGCGGGAGGTGTCTGGATGCGGACGGCGCAGGACCGGTCTTTGCGGAAATCCTCAGGGGAGGCCTTTGTCCAGCAGTGGAGGTCATTCAGCTGCAACGAACAGACGAACTTCATAGGTGTAGTAGTGTAAGCACATAACGATGTTTCATAAAGCACCATGTAAAACTGTATATTAAAAGTAAAATAAATAATAAAACTTGCTCAGAAAACCATAAAGGGTTGAAGCAAGATATTCATTGATCTTTGATAAGGAGACATTACGTACGCTCAAACGCGCGCGCCTCCTCGTTATATTTCTAAGTCAGATGTAAAATGAAGATGTCGTAGGTGTAGGCTATAATGCGTATTACTAGTACATTCACTTAAATATAGATGTCATGGAGGATGCATTCATGTACGGCAAAGACATCCACATATACGCACACAATAAATAATCTTATATCACTTACAGCAGGGGTTACCAAAATTATTCTGTAATTTTATAAATAAAAAATAAATAATAATAAAATATAATAAGTAAGTCTGATAAACCAGCATGCGTGTGTTGGAACTTGTACAGAACAACCTCAAAAAAATGTTTGCGATGTCCGTATCTGGCATCCGTACCAAAAACAAAAACAAACAAAAACATCATTTTAATTATAATACAAGCTCTACATACGAGTAAGTACGTACTAACCTTAAAAAGACATTAAGTGGCAGAACATCAGACTAAAAAAACACTATGGCATCTTACGTTGTTATTCTACAACCCGGTTGAGATAACTGCCTGCCTACCTGGCAGCCGCGACGTCACGTCGGCGCTCTAGTACGGACGAGGCACAGTAGATAAATCAAACAGTNGAAATAAATGCTTTTTATTCATTATTTAAGTTTATGAATTTTGAAAAATAAAAATAATGTTGTACTTTTAAAGGAGCTACTTTAGAGTAGTTTAATTCTCATGGGTAATAGATTTTGACGGATAGAGACTTGCGACCTTGTTCGACGACCACAACGATGGGTGCATTCAGAGAGTTCTGAATATGTTTTTGTATAGCCCATCTTTTGAAGGCGAGTCACTCGAACGGTCAATTTTTCGGATTTTTAATGGGTTGAAAAATATTAGTATCCTACTAACATTTTCATGTAAAATGTTGCGAGACGACAGACAGACAACGATATCATGTGGTTTGTAGCGTGAAAAGTCAAGCTTCTAAGGCCTCAGCCTCGAACTTAGCGGGCAGCGGGGCGGCGGCGGCGGCGGCGCGGGAGCGGCAGGATCTTATGCGTAAAATCAAATGGACCGGTTCTCGAAAACAGCGCCGGAGCGGGCAACGAGCGGGCAGCGGCGAGGGAGCGGGCAACGAGCGGGCAGCGCACTCCTTCTTCTGCCCACAATAAATCGAGCGTTAGGAATAAATTTGAATCGAAATAAAATTGTCGCCGTTGTTCAGACATTTCGTTTGCGAATAAAAACCAAATATCTTGACAACACAACCCCGATCACAACACTTCGCCGCTAAAGCGCCGCGCGAGCTGCCCGCTTGTTTCGAGAACGGGTCTGCGTTGCCCGCCCCGCTCCAGCGCCGCCGCCGCTCCCGCCCCGCTGCCCGCTAAGTTCGAGGCTGAGGCCTAACTCTACTCGCCCTAACTTGACAAACTCAATTAGGTACTTCGTCAAATCAATTGGCGATACATTTTAAATTCTAAACGAATGTCAATAAGGCTCATAATACCTCAGCATCATTGCTATTTAATCTGTTTAGTGACGCAATGATCATGTCCACACTAATCCGAGTGTGACTGCGCTTGTAAAAGCGTCAATGGATTTTCTTTCGGAATCCANAACGAACTTCATAGGTGTAGTAGTGTAAGCACTTAACGATGTTTCATAAAGCACCATGTAAAACGGTATATTAAAAGTAAAATAAATAATAAAACTTGCTCAGCAAACCATAAAGGGTTGAAGCAAGATATTCATTGATCTTTGATAAGGAGACATTACGTAGCGTACGCTCAAACGCGCGCGCCTCCTCGTTATATTTCTAAGTCAGATGTAAAATGAAAATGGCGTGGGTGTATGCGATGATGCGTAGTATTTCTAGTACATTCACATAGATATAGATGTCGTGGAGGATGATTTCATGCGTGGCATAGACATAGACGCATACGCAAATAATGCACAATTTTATATTAAAAAAAATGATCGCAGCAGGGTAACCTTTAATCTGTAATATTATCTATGAGCTGTGGTTTCTGAATAAATAAAATAAGTAAGACTGACAAACATGCGTATAATGGAACTTAAAAGGTTACAGAACACCTTCTGTAGACCAACTTCTAAGCCTCAAAAAAAAGGTAGTGACGTCTATTGGAATCCAGCCTTATTTATGACAAGTAACAACAATTATATTTTAATTAGATGTTAATTAGAGAGGTTAAAGTTAAACATACGTTATAGTTCAAATGACAGCACAGTTCGCATGTACACACAGTATGGCATCTTACCCCGTTTACTTATCCCGTTTTACCCTCTTAGGGGTGGAGTTTCCTAAAATCCTTTCTTAGTAAGGCTGTGCGTTGATAGATCACTATGTCAGTCAGTCGGTCACCTTTGAGTTTTATATTTTTTGATTAATATTTAAATAGTACTATTTTGCTACAAAAATAATTATTTTCTGGGAGTTGACTACGAATGTGAACTAGAGACGAGTTTTGAAAGACGTAGAAAACCGCGGCCCTAAGTTAGTTTTTAAACTAGCTAGATCCCGAAATAATTTATGATTTCAGGATTCAACTACGTCACTCTCGCATACAAATTATCACAATTTCTATATGCTATTTTTAGCGGCTCTCGTATGCGAGTGTTATAAAGCTAACTAATGATAATGTATCAAACGTGGTGTGTTAGCCTTGATGATGTCTACTGTCGTTAATGGAAATAGAAACGATATGACTACTACTTACTATTTCTTTGTATCTAACGCCCGTATTCACAAACGATACTTGCGTAAGTGAAGCAACAAATCGAACGCACAACTTTGAATAGGGCTCTGTGATTGGTTCGTGTGACACCCAGTGCGTCCACGCGCACTGTGAGACCTCATAGTAATGTTTGTGAATACGGGCGTAAACGTAGCTTATGTGCTGACCCTGCAACCTTTCTCCTAGAAAGGTTGTCAAAAGGTGACAGTTTCTTGCGCTGTTTTTTGTCAGCACTGGTCCATTTATTATGCTGGAGCAGTGGTAGGGTCAATATAATACTGGGACAGTGAAAGTGCTTTTAAAAAGCCTATTTTCCAAAAATAATTTTCGTTTATTACTCGTACTTTTAAAATGTGTTACACTGTTCCCTTTGCGACTGACTTGGTGGACCGTAGATAGGCGTATGATTTCGTCCAAGTAGAATAAAATGGAGAGGCCTGGTCGACGCACCCTGGTAAATAAGAGCGAGTCATGCTTCTGCATTGTACTAATGACTTGACGATGAAAATGATGGACAGAATTCCGTAGATTAAAACATAATTATACTTTAAAAAGCTTGATGACAATGCTCATGCATAGGTATTGCCGACTCTATTTTTATCTTGAAACACTTTTAAACTAGTATTTTTAAACTGAATAAATATCCGATGGGAGGAAGACCATTTAGGCTCAAATTGTTCAGTTAACACGCATCTTTTATAATAATTTCTATTGTATATCATGGGCAAACATCCTGTGTCAGTAAACGTGGTTTTCAAAACCACAGTAAAATGTAAAGTATAAAATTTACATGTACATTCACCGTGGTTTTCGAAATCATAAAGTGGATATAACATTATACGCAGCTATGCCTCTTTATGAACCTCTGTTTTTTATACGATTCAGATTGAATCGCAGAATGTGGATTCGAACTATTTTTCACATAGGATATAAAATGTTTCACATTGTTTTAATTATAAATTCTTTGGGAATACTTTAATGGGATAGTACGAATTGTTAGTCCAGAGCAATGATTATCTCGAACAATCTTATAAAGAGGTAAAGTTTGTAAGTTTCTTTGACAAAAGTAATCTCCGGAACTACGAGTACAGAACCGCTTTTAAAAATCCTTTTATCATTATAAAGCTACATTATTCTTATTCTTGATGGGTGTAGGACCCCAGAAGTAATATGAAATCGTACTTTATAATCATAATATTATTTCTCTGATTTCAGTATTTGACTGTGCTCGAACGTTTATAGATCATTCAGGCCATCGACTTTTCAACTATAGAATCGATCAAAAACCCCGTTGATCCACACTAATACTGACGCACACCATTCTGACGTTTCTCAACAATTATCATATAAATACTTTAAATACCGTAATGTGATATAATATATTTGAACATGTTTTCAGTGAGGCTGCTCGTCATTCTGGGATATTTAGTGTTTAATGTGCGAGGGGTGGATAATAGTGGACATTGTCCGAATGTGAAGGCGCCAATCAGTTCTGTGCGGAAAAGGAGATATTTGACTTTCCCAGATGACAGTGCTGCTGCGGTAAGTCTGAATCTTTTATAATTAAAATATTGTGAAATGTGTTACAAAGTTAGATTTTGAAAGTAAAATATGGTATGTGTGAGATGAGTAAGGAAGTATGAGTACTTACCACGTGTCAAGGTGATGTGACGTAAAATGATGATGATCAGGGCGTTACTTGTTTTGTAGAAGTAGCTCTTACATTTTTAAATATTGACTTTAGAAGAATTTAAGGCTAATCGGTCAGCTGCTAAAAGCGCGCCGAAACGTATGAGTTACATACATAACATTGGGTACTACCCGTACTCAATAGCATGTCAGCGGAAAATAAGGGATTTTATAAAGGGGACAAAATAGAAATGCTGCGCAAATTCAAAAGCGGTTAAAAAGTTAGATGGAGGAATATACAGTAACGTGTCTAGAAGTATTTGAAAAATATCTAAATACCTACCGGAAAACGCAGTGTAAGACCTCCACCCACAAGGTGGACTGACGACCTGATTTAAGAGCAGTAAGGCCCAGAATAGACGGTGAAACGCAACTGCAACCAAACTGCAACTTTCTGATCATTCTGATGAATGAAACTGAAAGTTTCAAACTGGTCGCGTCATGTGTGGTCTCTCAACGGACGCTATGGCAGAAACTAAGATGCAATTCAAAAGTAACTAGCAGTTGCAGTTGCGTTTCACTGTCTGTTCTGGGCCTAAGGCGCTGGATGCAGGTCGCTACCAACCGTGCGATGTGGAAGTCATTGGGGGAGGCCTACGTTCGGCAGTGGACGTCCTGTGGATGAAATGATGATGATGATGATGATCTAAATATTAATTAACATTTTTAGATAACAATAGATTTGGCCAAAACCTTCCAAACGCACGTGCCATCAGGCTGGTACGTGACCATGGATTTAGATGTGATATTCCCTCTTCCCGACTCCAAGTTCACCCTGGAACACTCCAGGAGAAAGCTGCATCATAAACAGAAAAGGGATATGTGGGAACGAATAGAAGAGGCTGTAGGATTGTGAGTTATCTTTTTGTTATTTTTTACCACACCTACTAAGGCAGAGTTGCACCACCTTACTTTGACCGAGGCTACAATGATAACCGGTGCTTTTTGTATGGAGTTTGACAAATTTTTGACGTTTGTCAAAGTTAAAGTAAGATGGTGCAAGGCAACCCAGTCTTAGTCCAGTCATTTACTGTACTATCTATATTCTATACTAATATTATAAATGCGAAAGTAACTCTGTCTGTCTGTCTGTCTTGCTTTCACGCCTAAACCACTGAACCGATTTTGATGAAATTTTTCATAGAGATAGAGTCCCGGGAAAGGAAATAGGATAGTTTTTATCACGGTGAAATAGGGACGCGCGCGATATAGCCTTTCTGTGACAGGCAAAATTCCACGCGGGCGAAGCCGTGGGTGAAAAGCTAGTAGTTAATAAGACGTTACAACATGTAGTTTATTAAAGTTCTGAATATGGTACTTCTTCAGCTTGAAATAACTTGAGAATAGTGTTACTGGTATAAACATTTAATTGTTTGTTTGTACGTCATCAAACCCTATAAGGTCCTGTAGGGACAAATCCTCAAAGTTCTCGAATCTGAAAGATTGAGGAGATAGAACCCTTCAAATTTCATTTTCTGAGTTTGGGGGATTAGTGTTTTCTTTTCAACCCAGTACTCCTTCAGGAGTCACTACTAAAGTACGGCCAACGAGAAGCGATACCAAATGTAAACAAACCCAACGTCATAGGTGAACCCGTCTGACTTTGACATATTTTGGCGGGAGAAGTAGACATTACGACAAATACACAAGATGGGAAGAGACAGACTATATTGTCAACTCAACAGTCGTATCGACCTTTTTTGTATCGCTGCTAGTTGGCCGTACTTTAATTACCATACTTAATTATCATACCAAATAAATGAAAATACTCGATTTCAGTCACAATCTGAATGGCCGAGCTTGCATCCTGAGGAGCATCTGTGAAGCCAAGGTGCATCTAGCGCCGAAAGGAAAGTCTCTGGTACACGACATACTTAGAGCTATATTCACGTAAGTTCTTATTAAGCAATTTTTTTATTTAACTTTTTTTTAATTTATTTATTGGCAACCAAACCTCTCTGGGAGGTTTATTTCTGCCAATTTCGAGTGAAAAATTGACTTAAATTATCAATAGAACGTGATTGTTTCAGTTCTATTGATTTTTCATGGATTCCGTGGAGTTAAGTAGGTATGCCCGTAAGCAGGTTTCAAAACTCCACCGGGTCCAAAGCGGGTTGTTCATACGACAACCCACTCGACACTCGATGCGCGCTCAAATTCGAAGTGTTTCAATGTTTTTTTTTTATAATTTATCACATCACTGTACTTTAGAACACAAAATAACACCAAAGTAAACTAAAGTCCATTAAATAATAAATTGAAACCATTAAAACAGATCGACCATGCTTCCCGTTCAACTACCCTCCATGGAACTTTTAACTTTTGCCTACAGCTTGTCACGTGATTGTTTCAATCTAAAGCCTCCCCGAAGACCACAGACTTTTAGTTGGCCCATAGTTGGGTCGGGCTGTTGATCAGTATGAACATGTATGGAAATGCGCACACGGCCGATTCTTTGGAAGTTGACCCAACTATCGGCCGACTTAAGTCTGTGGGGTAGGTATCAAACAAATGAACTAAGGCCGACCTCAAAGATTCAACTACAAAAATGATTAGTATTGCAATTTGTAAACTCCACCTGATGTTTTGTTATGTTTTTGTTTTTATTATAATGCGTTAGTGAAGTAATATTTTTTAAAATTATATTTTTTCAGGATTCCAGCCTTCGAGAAAGAGTTCGAAGACGTTATGAAAGAAGGTTACGATGACGTCATAGACCCCCACGTTTGTGACAGGATGCATGAATGTCCATTCTCGTTGTTACATTTTATTTTGGATATGAATAAACCTAGATAGAGAAGGAAAAACTGAAAGCGTGAGGTGCCTTTACAAAGTCTAAAAACCAAAATGTATGTCTTAAAAGGATAGTTTTTGGGCATTCCCAAAGATAACTTGTTAAAATTAGTTTTTTTTTTACATCGTGAGTAACACAGATTCACCTTTCACGTGAGCTGATCAAAAATTGTAATCTAAACGTGTTTAGGTATTTACTAAAATACCTATTTCATGTTATTTCATACATAATTTTTAAACTTTAATGATTGTTTGTACCAATCAAAATGACATTTGCCTATAGCGGGACTTGAATCAGCTATCACTGGCTTCTGTCCTATGATCCCCAGACCAGGCGACTGACAAAAAGTAACTTAACCACATGAAATTAAGACTGAATTTTGAATTTTACACGAATTTGTACTCAAAAGCCTGTGGAGTCGGTCGTAAATCATCTAAAGTTAATTATTTTATGAAAAGGGTTTGTGTAACACCTAAATAAATAGCAGCTGATACTCTGGTTAATCCACAATTAATAACTTCCCAAATCCGAGACAATAGGGAATAAATAATACATTGATTTTAAAAGTTAATAAATAAACACTTTATTTAAATACTTAAAACCCTGTAAAATGAGTATTGGAATCGGACGGGAAACAAAGAAATAAAGCATTGAAACTTTTACAGCTAATCGTGACGTCACATGACTTATAAGGTACTCTGCGTATTTTTCTAGCGTATTAAGTGACGTGTGACGTCACGAGGTTTCTAATGTCTATATGTTCGGTATTTTTTGATATTTTTGTTACAGAAAAGCACTAAATGATTCAATGCCAAGGTTACTGAAAGGTGAGAAATAAAAAAACTTGAAAATTCTCTATTGATCCTATAGGCATTACGTAGAAACTTTAGGTCTAGAGATCGTGAATTTGAATTTCCGAAGAAAATAGAGCCTTAAGACAACTGGCGACGGCTTGATATATGCCCGCCATAAATCTCGGGAGCTTTTAAAACTGAGGATGGGATGACTGTGGGGGGTTAAACCCTGCTAATGTTGGGGGAATGCGGTACTAAATTATGTTAGCACTTTTGCAAATGCACCAGAAATTTCGTTAGGTGCGGAATTTTAGGTTGAATTGTTAGGGTAAGTCAGAGGAAAGAAAGAAAGCTAAAATGTAGGTTTTCAGATCACTAACATGATTTTCACGATCACTAGCATTGTTGTGTTCCGGAAGTTAGAGGTAAGATAGCCAGTTCCTCCGTGGTTGAGGATTCCGGATGAAGCTCGCTTCCACCTTCGGCCTGATCATCACTTACCATCAGGTGAGATACATGCCAAGAGCTTCCTCGTTGTGGGTTAAAAAAAAATTATCAGTTTCAGGCTTTAGATTTAAAACCTTTGGCGTCCGTTTGGGCACAAAATTTTCGAGAATTATACTTGTCTTAAAACGACACTAACAAATAAAGATCTATGATGACTGGAGGAAAATGCCGAAAGGCATTAAGTCCGCCTTATGTACACCGTTCTATGTGCATATAAGTTTTAAATAAAATAATTAAATAAAATATGATACAAACTTTTCTAGTTTATCTGACAGATAAGACTCATAATAAGTTATCAGGGACTTAATCAGCAAGTGGGAAAACTTTAGCATTTGACAAATAAAGTTCGGACGGCTCTAGCGTGCGGCCGAAACAGTCATGATTTTATCCTCTGGGTAATGGTAGTCACTTTTTGTCCCAGTTTTAATGCACCTAGCCACAGCTCGACATAAATCAGCCAGCAAAGGAACAAATCATATTTAATTTTGTGTAAAAAATGTAGCGGTGGCGCGCATGGTTAGCTCTTTAGTGAGGAACTCATAGCCAGGATTGTAGTTGCAAAAGATTAATCGAACCTCTATTTTTTTTAAATAGATGAGGGTAAACTGTCTTTGAGGTTCTGAGTATCCTCTTATGAGAAGCGAAGAACAGAGTGGATATGCTACTCATTACCCAAACTGCTTTTATGGGCAGGTCCCTAAATTTATTAACGCTGAGTTGCACCACCTTATTTTAACCGTGACTATAACGGTAACCAGTGCTTTTTGTACGGAGTTTGACATATTTTTGACGTTTGTTAAAGCTAAAGTAAGATGGTGCAACCCAGCCTTAGTTTATTGTAAGTATTATAGTATCAGTACCTACTATTTTGAAGCCAATAGTACATTGTCTAACTACGTAGTAAAACCTCTATTTTACTGTGAACCTCAATTTACCAACGTTTCGGCTGAACAGAAGTGGCTGTTGTACTCCACCTGTGGCCTAATGGAACGGCCGCGATCTGTCACCGGCCCATTCACCCTACCGCCAATATGTGAAATGTTTGTCATGTCTGCCCAAAGCTAGGTCAAGAGTTTGTTAATTTTTCATTTGATTGATGTATGAACTGATTTTTGAGACGAAATTAATTCATCGCGGATTGTATCTTTTTTGGCAGTCTATTTTGTGAGTTACTGATATTTTAAAAGACTTATTTTGCTGTTGTTTTCTTTCTCATTTCTGTGAAAACGTAGACGTTGAGTTGTACCTCAATTTTATTACTTTGAAGTTACAATAAAATCAATGGAACAATGATTGAAACTCGATATCGGGTTGAGAGTAAAGTTTTAGGTTATTATGGATTCTGCATTACCTAATAGATCCAAATATTGAAATTTTATTTTTATGTAAAATATTAGTTTACTTATATTTTTCATACATGCAAATCATAAACAGGTTTAAACTCGAACGTTAAACCAAACATCATTATCGCGACTCTTCATACAATCTCCATGCAAAAATCGAAGCTCGAAAACACTTACCTTCGTAAAAGCAAATTCACCCTCATCTGACGTTTGCAACACGACCTTTTGACGCGTACTTTGTCTCTTTATTTTTAACAGAATCAATGTCTGACCCAATAAATCATTGAAAAAAGCTTTTACAGCCTTTCTGCTTCAATTACCGTCGGCTCTACGGAGCGTTGTTCCTGAGATGGAAGCGACACCTATATGTATACAGACGATGGCTTGACAAGCCTTTAGGTAGTTGTGATGTATACTATTTTTTTACAAAAATGTCTATGTGACGTGACGTCTACTGAACTAACTATTGGAAGATTTTGTGCAGGTTAGTTTTACAATATGTTCGACAGTATGGTTAAGGTTTTATACAAAAACTGATTTTGTTACTAATGGAGCAATTTGTTATTATAATTAGGCTTTTAAACATAATTCAACTTCTTCAACTCCAACTGTCGTAGGTACTAGTATGATGAAATCGCATCATTGTTTTTCTAATAATATTGTGATATTTTACCTTAAGAGCTGTGGATTTTGTGTCAAAATTGAATACAAGTAGATCAATTCAGAATTTATTGCTTATTAAAAATAAACCAGTTCGGAAACTAGTTCAGTCTACCTGACCCTTATTCAAACAAATCTAGATCATGCAAGTCCAATTGGGGGTACTTAGTGACATTCTCAAACACCGTTTCAAAACTTACAGAGACACGACAATTGGTATTACCGTTACTCAGGGATTGGTAACGTAAGAACGTTACTTACTTTCATTTAGTATACTGGCCAGTTGTCACTCGGTAAATGTTAAAAATAAAAAATATGGGGAAATATTCGCTTTTCATTTGTTTGTTAGTATGCGCCACAGTGTTTTGTTTTGATTATGAAGAATACGGTTCGAAGAAATCAAAAGTTTTGTCGAGAAGAAGGAGGTATGTGACGTTTCCTGAAGGATCGAGTTTTTCGGTGAGTATAAGTGATATTTAAGTTATTATTTGTCTACTAGCATTATTTGTGTGAATTTAAATTCGTTTTACAAATAAGTACTGTCGATTCAATATTTTCGAACTTAGATTTTTTTCGAATTATAAGTTTTTCTAGAGTAATTAATGAATGTAGAATAATATGGTTTCTTTATCAGTTTCTTAAGCTGGCTTTTCAAGTCTATGAAAACTTGTCAGCAAAAGAAAATTTTCATTGAAAATTCATTTTCATCAAACATTTCAAACATCTCTTTTCTTCCCATTCCAGTGCGCCGGCTGCGTAACCGTAGGTCTGATCGGCCAGCCGTCTCCAACAACAGCTGCTGGCACCTTCACCTTCGGCCTGAATTGGGGCATAGCATACGAGCTGCCCAACGCCACCGAGACCCTGGCATACTACCACCAGAAGTATCGACTGAAGCACCAGAAGGCGATGACTCAGAGGCGGAATAGAAGGGANACGAGGCGAGCGCAGGAAGGTGTGCGGGTGAGTGCGAGGGAGAGTCTCATTCAGCGAGGTGCGCAGTTGATCGATCAGATTGTAGGTACAAAAATCCCAACTTTAATATTATAAATGCGAAAGTAACTCTGTCTGTCTGTCTGTCTGTCTGTCTGTCTGTCTGTCTGTCTGTCTGTCTGTCTGTCTGTCTGTCTGTCACGCTTTCCCGCTTAAACCTCGCAACCGATTTTGATGAAATTTGGCATAAAGATAGTTTGAGTCCCGGGAAAGAACATAGGATAGTTTTTATCCCGGTTTTTGAAACAGGGACGCGCGCGATAAAGTTTTTCTGTGACAGACAAAATTCCACGCGGGCGAAGCCGCGGGCGGAAAGCTAGTTTATTATAAAGCCCGGTCTCTGAACACGAGGATTTTTTCGTCCAATGACCCCAAGCTACCCATTCTTATCGCTCGCGCGTAATTATATTGCTGTCGCGATTGTGTGACGGGCGCCCGCAGTGAGTGTGCGAGTGCAACTATAGTTGTTGCAATTCACGAAGGCGAGTGGGCTTTACATGTGTGGTAGCTCGCTACTGTTAGTTTTTCACACGTTTTGACAGACATTACACTATCGTTATGCCCATGTACACGTACACACACAAGTAAGGCTCACTCGCCTTCGTGAGTTGCAAGAACTATACCAGATATAGAAGTTGACTCTACGAATGTAGGTAACTTGAGACGTAAAAAGGCCGCCTAAAGCTATTTAGATGATTTCAGGAT